GGCAGCACCATTTGTTGAAGATGCTGTCCTCGCCCCATTGTATAATTTTAGCTGTTTCGTCGAAAATCAGGTGTTCATAGGTGCGTGGATTAATATCAGGATTTTCAATTCGATTCCATTGGTCTACCTGTCTATTTTTATGCCAATACCAGGCTGTTTTCAGAACTATAGCTCTGTAGTAGAGCTTAAAGTCAGGAAAGGTGATGCCTCTTGATGTTCTTTTATTATATAGGGTTGTTTTGGCTATCCTGGGTCTTTTGTTTTTACATATAAAGTTGATTATTATCCTTTTAAGGTCGGTGAAGAATTGTGGTGGGATTTTAATGGGGATTGCATTGAATCTGTAGATTGCTTTTGGTAAGATTGCCATTTTTACTATGTTAACTGAACAAACTGAATGGAGAGAAACTTAAGCCAATTCCTCTAAAATCAGGAACAAGACAAGGCTCTCCTCTCTCTCCATATGTCTTCAATATCTTACTAGAAGTTCTAGTTAATGCTATAAGACAACAAAAGGAGATCATGGGGATCCAAATTGGAAAGGAAGAAGTCAAACTGTCTCTATTTGCAGATGATATGATAGTTTACATAAGCGACCCAATAAACTCTACCAGGGAACTCCTACAGCTGATAAACACCTTCAGCAAACTAGCAGGATACAAGATAAACTCAAAAAATTCAGTAGCCCTACTTTTTTCAGACGACAAAGAGACAGAGAAAGAAATCAGAGAAACATCACCCTTTACAATAGCCACAAGCAACATAAAGTATCTTGGTGTAACGCTTACCAAACAAATAAAAGACCTATATAATAAGAACTTTGTGACTCTAAAGAAAGAAATTAAAGAAGATACTAGAAAATGGAAAGATCTCCCATGCTCTTGGTTAGGTAGGATTAACATAGTAAAAATGGGATGGAAATTTATTAAGCCTGTAAAAAAAATAAACCTGGAGGGTGAGGCAAAGACTGATAAGCTCTGATAAAGTCACTTGCTATAATTCATCAAGACAGTAGTAGAAAGTCCTACTTCAGAGACTTCCAATGCTGCCACACTGGAGACTAAACCTACCAAGCTCATGATAGCAGAACATTGCCAAGAGAGGGGCATGAGGTACTTGTGGAAACTTGGTGCTTCTTGTCCTCTGTTGCTGCTGATCTCAGCTCCTACATTCTGGTGCAATATCTACAAATGCCCTACATGTGGCTCAAGTGCAGCTGGGTGTCCTGGGATGCCACTCCACATGGCAAAGAAATAACTATGGCAATGCTTACATGGTGCTGAATCTACTGTGTGTTTACTGCACAACTATGGGGTTATGGCTACCTTCATCTAGATCCTAAATGAAACATAGACAGAGTAGGGCTGTAGCTGTATATTCATGGAGTAAAGGTCCTTGCAGTGTGCTCTCACTGGGTTATTGTCCCTTGAAGCTATAGAATTGGCATCGCCATGTAGATATGAAGTCCCAAAAGCTGGAGTGCCCCCTGAACTGCAGAAGTATAGAGACCAGAACTCTAAGTAGTAGGAGCCAAAAGTATAAGATGTAATTGAAAAATCTTATAAATGCTGCAGCCTAAGACATTTCCAGTAAATCCATGGGGCATGCTTTCCTTGAGCCTTGGAGAGGGTATAGAGTGGGCAAAACAGGTAAGTCTCAAGATTTATGAGTCAATGTTTGGTCTCTGAGAACCATGTTATCTCTCTCTCTCTCCCTCCCTCTCTCTCTCTCTCTCTCTCTCTCTCTCTCTCTCTCTCTCTCTCTCTGCTTTCTTTGGGAGTATATAATTTGTTTGACAGCCATAAGGAAATTTGACCCTCAAAAGAATCAGCTCTAGCGTATTACCATCATCTGTTTCTGAAGATACTTAGGTAAGAGATGATGCACACAGCTCTTAAAGTTGATGTTGGAAATGACTTGAAAGTTTTCTAAGTATAAAGATGCAACTTTGTGTATGAATTTTTGGCTGTATTTGGCAACCCATTTCAGCTTACATATAGCCCCCATAAATTCATCTGCTGAAGCCTGAAGTATGAGGAGGTGGAACATGTGGGACATGATTAAGTGATGAGTGTATGAGGTTAGTATCTCTATGAAAGTACTCCAGGGAACTTATCAGGCCACTGTTCTACTGAGTTGTTCAACACTGAATGAAGTAGCAATAAAGTAAAAAGTACAGAGACTGAGGATTCTCCGGACATTGAGTCAGTTGTATCTTTCACCATGGTCTTCAGTCTTCAAAACTGTAATAAATACCTGTTCTTTGTAAATTACATAATCTAATACATCCTGTTATAAGAGTGGGAACTAGAATCAATTGGGATCTAACCTATTGTGTAAAGTTCAGGTAAGAAGAAATGTCTCTGCATTATTCCTATATGACTCATTTCCTGGCAATGTGTAAAGTTAAAATGTTCCCTAGCAACTAATTCTCAAACATGTACACACAAACCATAACTAAACAAGATTTTATCTCACAAATATGCTACTGTTAGTTCTCTAGCCTTGCCAGACCGAAAAATATTCAGTATGTTAATGACATAGATCCATAATCCTCAGCTAAAATCATAGTTTTCATTAGTAGAGAAACAGAATTAGGCATTAGTGTTCCAGATCTAGTTGGCTTCCAACTTAGGTAAAATTTTAAACAACTTTTTGGCACAAATAGGGGCATTTAAAATCATACAAACATGGAAAATAGGTTGAAGATTAACTTGGATATGTGACAAGAAACAAAGCAATGAATATTCCCTAGTGCTCAGCTCACTTTCCCCATTTTACATAGTCTAGGATTCCATGAAGAGGTCATGATGCTGCCTCTGGTCAAGATGATTCTTTAGACAGCAGCTAACATAGTCAAGAAACTCTCATGTAGGCATATTTAAAGGCCCATCTTCCTAGTGATTCTAAATTCTGACACTGACATTTAATAAACAATCCCAACTGTACCCTTTGTCAACTTCACATTCAAACAGATCATATTTAATCCATATACAACCTCACAGCTCCATAAAATAATAACCATGTTATAACAATACCTACTGTATTCATTCTTACATTGAAAATGCCAATGTCGTTAACAGTTTCAATATTTTAAAAGTCTAAACTCTCTTAACTTTCAGTTCCCATAAAGCCAAAAGGGAGTTACATATTTTCAGCAGAGTAAACATTTCTGTTCCCAAAATGAAAGAAGCAAGGAGCAGTCATAGTAGGAACAGTCATGCAAAACAAAACCCAAATCTGCAGAAAAATTTACTTATTCTGAAATTTTCATGTCTGGCACCCGGGACTTATGGTATAATAAATGGGACTCCAAAGAGTATGAATGGCCTACTTGTCTACCTCCAACTCTGTTGCCTTCTGTATATCTAGCATAGACTGCCTTCACTCTACACCTGCAGCTCTGTTCTGTACACATTCCATTTTCCACAGAACCTTCAATGTCCTGGGTTTTCCAATGGTACCTTAAGCTTAACATTTACAGCTTCATGACATAGCCTATCAAGTACTTCTTCCAGATACTCTGACACTGTTCCACATTGATTAGTGTGAGCTATTTTCCATTACACTCCAATCTTTTATCTTCCATGCCTTCAAAACTATTTGCACACAGATGACTCTGCCAAGTTCTGCTACAAGTTGGAGATGTAGCCTGCCTTTCCCTTCCTCAAAGTCCACAACTCATGATGATATTGCAAGATTTTTTTAGGCAATAGTTTCAGAGGGATGAGAATGCCCTGACCCACACTCTGGGGGCTACATTCTCAATTCAGTCTCTCTCCTTTACTGATGTTTTCATTTTCACATCTTTGTGGGAATCTTTGATGGGAGGGATCTAGGGTCACCTTTATTACTGTTCCTGTGGAGAAGAGGGCTTATTGTTAATGATGTTAATGTCTTTAACATCTACAGATGCTTTGTTATTTGTTCTCCATTGTTCACAGCCCTAAGCCTGTTTATGTGCCTCTCCTCATGGAGTTTCACGTTGTTTATTTCTTTTTGCTAAATTGTTGCTTTCTCCCACTAAAGATCTGAATGTTGGTGGTGAGAAATCCCAATAACATCCTGCCTTCGAATGTCCTCTTCTATACAAACGAGTCCATTACTTTTGAATTAAGTTCTCTGAATATTTTCAAAGTAGAGCCAGCCTCTTTGGAATATGAATGGCCTTAGCCTTATGCTTGAGTGTCTATGCTGCCCTATGAAACTAGGCCTCAACAATCCAAACCAAAACTGCCTTTTGGTCATTGAAACCACCACTAGGATGGCCACTTTGGCTTTTACTAACAGCATTTTTGGATTTTTCTAGCCCAGTTAGAAACTTTTTTACGTTGCTTCCTCAACCCAGTCCCAAAGACCTAAGAAGCACATGACAAGTTTAATCATAGCAACAGCCAAAATCTTGGTAAAACTCCCTGATGTCATGTTAGTTTTCATTGTTACCTTGACATAAACTAGAGTCACCTGGAAAGACTGAACATCAACTGAGGAACAGCCAAAATCAACTGGTCCCCTGGCCATATTTATGATAGGTTCTCTTGATTAGTAACTGTGTATAAACAGTAATGTCAATAAGTCAACCCCAATAGTAAAGTAGTAAAGAGTAAGTCCTAAAAGTTAGTGTTTCTTAGAAAGAAAATACAAAGCAAAACATGACAGTGTTCACTGAAAAGCATTTAAAATGGGTAAGTTGCAGACTTTCAGTATAAAAATTTATAATAGCAGAAATTTTAAAAGACCATTTAGTGTTATTTCCTAAAGATAAAAGAAAGTACATGTTACTTTTATTTGCATTTTATTGAGTAATATTTCCCAGGCAACAAAATAGTTAACATTTTAAAAAAAAGCTTTAAAATTTCAAAATAATATGAGGTTTTTTGTAAGAAATAAACAATATAGTTTTGGTATAATTTTATAATTAACAATAACAAGGTTTAAATTGAAAAAGACATGAGAAATAAATCACAAATTATGATTCAATTTACTTTCCATAAAATGTTTCATTTCTAAATATACATTTCCATTTTTACCTTGAATTCAGTGAATATATTGGATGTGTATAAAGATGTATGCCCATGTGTATTCCAAGATGTAGAAGCTAAACTATCACTTGGAAAGCGAAATTGCACACATTATGCCTCATGTATTATAGCTTAATTCTGAGAAATTTCAGTATAGAAAAATAGAGCCACTGGTTTCCCATTTACATGGTCTCATTGTAGATTTCAAATCTTCTCTGTCTTCTTCATTAGTCTCCACAACACTGCTAATTTTTGGTCCTACTCACAGCCTTCAAAAAACATGTAATCCTAGAGAGAAACAAAAACATAAAAATAGTTTTTCAGAGGCAAAGACTGACCTATTCTCAGACACAGAAAGCTAAGGGCACTTAATACCAAATGACATCGTGTCATCCAAGATGAACTTAAATGTAATGAGTAAATGTTGGAAAGTCTATAAAATGACCTTTCTCTTCTAATTACAATAGTGATTAATTTCTATGATTTTATTTGTTTCTCCATGTTTGTATCAATTTAATTAATTCTCCTATACCTTCTCTCAATATTTATTTTTCGTATTTCCCTTGAAATTTTTCTTCCTAAGTTGAAATTTTTTTCCATCAATGATTTAAGTTTATGTTTATCAGCATTGTGTCTCCATGCATGTCTGTGCCCATGGAGGTCTGAAGAGAGCATCACATCCCCTGGAACTGATTATCGTGAGTCGATGTGGTGCTGGAGTTCAAACTCAGATCCTTTGGAAGTGCTTACAACCTCCAGCCCACCCCTTATCTCTTTCTAGTTTTATTCCAATAATGTAATGTTTCAGGTAACAGGAGATTCACGGTCAGCTTTAGACCATGGGGTTGATGCAGCCTTTTCATTCAGAATGACATACACACCAAGCTTCCTGGTCCAGGAACAGCAATTCTCTTCTAACCCAGCCTACTCTTTCCTGCATTGCTTTCATTCTCTAACTAACAAATCATATGGAATTTGTTTCTTTCCTATTTTGTATATTTTTTTTGATCAACAGTAATAACTCAGCTCTTCTGCTGATCACTTATATACTCCGATGTCTGTGTAACTGATTTTTCAAATCATTACCTCAATATTTCTTTTCAAACTTGTATTCAAAACTACTTTTTTACAACCCAGCTTTGAACCAAGCAATATACAATTTTAAATAGGTTACTCTATATTTATGAAAGCTTCCTGATGTTTAAAGTATTCTGAAAAAATTTTCTTTGCATTGACACAAAAATGTGGGTGTATTTATGGAGCATGGGGTGATCTTTCAATATGTTCACATATTGTACAATGTTTCATAAACATTCTGACCATCTCATTTATTATATATCGGGGTGAAAACTTTTGGAATTCCATTCTGAGGTTTTTGAAGTTGATGCTACATGCAGCCCCTTCTTTGCCATAATATCCAGAACTTTCTTTTACCATATCTAGAAAACAATTATCATTCTACCATCAACCCTGTTTCACATCAAGAGAAACCCTGCACATTATGTCCTTCCACTGAATGCAGGGACTTTCACATGCCCAGACTTTTGCTTTAAAATGTTTTCCCAAAAATAAGGCTAAATTTACTTTATAAGTGTTCTTTACACTTACTCAACACACACACACACATACACACACACACACACACACACACACACACACACACACACAAACCACACATCTTCTCTTTCTTTACATGTTCATTTCGTTTAAACTTTTGCAAAAGAAAAAAGGAAGAAAGAAGGAAAGAAAACCTGAATAAGCATAACAGAAATAAAGAACCATAGTGCACAAAGTCATAGCCCCTGCTCAAGTGGCTTCTATAATGATTAAGCTGTATCTACCTGTTACTTAACCTTACAACTCCACTCTCTTATCCACATTATTTAAAAGCCAAAATTCTTTACCAAGCAAGTTTACCAAAACACACATATAGTCAATTGTTCTTATTGAAACACCAAAATAAATCCATCATTCCATCTAAACACCATTGTTTATATTTACTTGAAACCTCATAAATGACTTTTAAGATGGTTTTCCATGAATTGATGCCCAAACACGGTTCACAATAGTTATTATGGTGACATCCTGTTTTTTTTTTTTTTTTTTTAATTTGTATCTGTTTGTTGAAAGAACCCAGACAATAGGGCTGGACAAGCTCTTGTTGGTTTTTTTTTTTTTTTTTTTGTTTGTTTTGTTTGCTTGTTTGTTTTGCGCTTTTTTTTTCTTATTGCAACTCTAAAACAATGCTTAAGATACCTCACATTTCAAACCCTGCAACATAATGGAACTAGCTAGGAATTCTATCCAGACTAAAAGGTTGGAAAAAACTTCAGAGAGTTTAATTTAGTGGAGTTGTAATCTGGGCAGGGAGTGTTTAAAGTTCCCTGGGTATCCTGTTAATGATGAATATTGACTGCATATTGTAATCTGCTGACATAATATGTAAATACTGATCATGAATTTCTGATTTATTTGAACTGCCCAGATAAATGTTTCAATTAATTTACCTTTACAGCCTAATTATAACTATATTGTAATTTATAGTCACATATTAGATGATAATTTTATGATTGAACAACATGTACATTTTGATCAGACTTTTTCCAATTAAGTACAGATTCAACACTGCCTCCAAATCTCTAGCTTTATGTTTTATTTAAAAAAAAAAAAACCTGAAAGAATGACAAAGTCTGTGTTGTCTTGTAATGAGCTATAGACTCCTCAGAGAGTAAGTAGCCCTCCATATCTGAATTTCAGGGATACAAGCCATTGAACAGCTATAACAAAGCAGAATCTCATAAAACCCATCAGTGTAACAATGTCACTTTGGGACTCACAGTGTGCCGAATCATTATGGAACAATTCTACCAAGGATTAGCAGGAACACTTACTATGAGGAAACACGCTCCGAGTACCACAGCCTTCATCTTCACATCAAGGTCTAGTGGGAACTGGATCCCAAAGTTATCTGCATCTGTGAAGGTCTCTTTCATACACCCAGACCACTGCTTGGAGATCTTGCCAATTCCAGATTGTTCATCAAGAGACATGATCTACATATGAAGAAAAAAGTAAGGATTTGTAGAATATGTATGGAAAAACCTACTTTCAAAGGCTGGAGTAAAGTCAGACAAATATCTTCTTAAAATTATGTTCAAAATATTTACCTACTTCAATTTCTAGAAGGTGTTGGGAAGACAGCAGATGAAACTCCTCTAATATTATATGCTTTGAGAAGCATAACTTTCATGCAGGATAACTGTATAAATGTGGCAGAGGGTCATTGCCACCTATGAGACCAAGGCAGTAGGGGGCATTAAAGTCAAAAAGCCAAGAAAGATCCACAGACCAGCTACTGGGTATAAGGGACCAACAAGAAACTCCATGTGAGACTACTGGGGGGGCAGAGATGGGACATGAATTGATAATTAGTGAGGAGTGTAACATACTAGAACAAAAGTTAAGTGAAAAACTTGATTAGGGGACTCTGTGGGAGCAAAGCCCAGGACCCCATTTTACAATAGAACAGGTAGGGCACAAACTAAAGCCACTCCACACAGGGAATGCAGATTCTTACCAAAGGATGTACACATAGGCTTGAGCCAAAGGAGGAGGAAATAGGTTTGTCCTTTCCAAACCTGCAAAAGCCATCAAAGGAGGGGGCAGCCTCCTTTAAAGTCCTTGCCTTTAAAGCTCCACCAAGTAAACATGAGGACATTCAGAGGTAGTCTACATCTTGGTGTGGCTGGAAGAGGATGATATCTTAAATATGTTGATGTTTACTTCTTTTTTGGCATTATTTGTTTATTTCTTGGCTTGTGAACACCCTTAATTTGTTGATGTAGCAAACAAATTTCAACTCTGCTATGCAAATGACCGAAGGAATCTGCTCAGGAATTAACTTTAGAGTTCAATTTCATACAGGCAACATGCTATATGTAAAAAAAAAAAAATACTAACTGAACTACAGGCATTAAATAGTGAAAAAATTAACACTTTATTATAATTTATTTTATTTAACAATCTAGGAAGTTGGCATCAGCAGTTCCAGTACAATTTCAGATACAACTGGGAATTCATGAATCTTGGTGGAGCTGTTTGTAGCAGACCTTGCATGTAAAATGCATGAATATTTTCAATAGCACATGCGAAGGCATCTCTCTAAAATTGACCTCATTGCTTTCATTCTCAGCAAACTACCCTGGTTCACTCAACATGGCTTTTATTGTTCCTGATGTTAATGCATGTTCTCTTTATACAATAAATTAATGGCCATTAACTTGACATACATGGATGTCATCAGGGCCTTCACAGTCTCCATCCATTATTTTCTTACAAAATCCTACTTGATCCCACAGGAACTTTAGTAGTTTCCTGTCGAGGCAGAGGCATGGTCCTCTGGGAACTTGCATGCAAAGAAAGTGCATTGTGTTCTGTGATGTTTACTTCCAATATGAATGAAAAGTCACAGACTATTGCTCACAGAATAGTACTTTCATTCTACACCCACACTAGGCATAGTATACTTTCTCTTCCTTGAGAATTAGGTTTTGTTATATGTCTAATTTGATGATAGGATGTGGCAAATGTCTTGAGTCTTCACCATGGCTAACTTGTTTGGCCTGGATGTTCACCAATGAGCAGTATCACCCATTGAGTAGCTGTGGGTTCAGTCCTATGACTCACTTTCCTTGAGCAGATGGCTGGTTACTTCCTGGTCCAAGTTAGAGCCATCTACATGAGCTTCTGTGAATGCACAGAAACTCAGCTGACCTAAGGACCATGATGTGAACTCAGTGATATTGACTTGAAGTTATGAACCATTATGGTTGTATCAGATATGCCATTTTGATAAGTTGGCCTAAAACAAAACCTCTTTTGTAACATCTTAGCATTTTATGTGCAATAGTCATCATAAACATTTATAGTCAGTCATAAAATTCCACACGTATGTTTGAAGTATGAATTATAGTATAGAAGACAAGTGGTAATTTGTCAGCATCATAAACCCAAAGCTAAAAATAAACACATGAATATTTACCATTTTTTTTAGAAAGCAATATCTTAAAAAACTGAATCCATTTTCAGATGTAATTTTATTGGAGGGATGATGAGAATTGTAAATTACAGAAAAAAAGTAACCAGCTAAATTTGAAATTGTTTTTATTGTTTGTGTGTGTGTGTGTGTGTGTGTGTGTGTGTGTGTGTGTGTGTTGTGTATGTCATTATTCCCCTTCCATCATGGCATCATGGTAGTCCAGTGGGTAGAACTCAAAATGGCTAACTTGGTAGCAAGTGCCTTTGGCTGCTAAGCCACACCTCCAGACCCCAGGTAGCATTTTCAACAAGACACTTGAACAAGAAAATTTCATCTTTGACATAATAACAACTGTAATTGTTCTATTGGCAGTTCTAATGGAATTGGTAGAGCTTATACTAACATTTCCCATTTTTAATACATGAACATCGCTATCACATACTCTATAGAAAACAGAACAAGTATCTAAATTCTGTCAAAGACAGTACATCGATATCATCATTCTAAATATATCACAAAGGAAGAAACTTATCTAAGGCAATGGCTATTTGAAGGCATCCGTGAAGATAAATGGCACAATAAAACTTAAAATCATTAATAATATCACAAAACTCGTTTTTTTTTAATCAAGCACACGACAGCAAAGTTTTCCTTAATAGTATCCTTTGATTAAAAAAAAATCTATCATATGTTGTAACTAAATACTTACTACTTTTACTGACTCTCACATAAGCAAAGTGTTCTGTATAAAGAATCATCATTATAAATGTTCATAAGTGTTTTTATATACACTTACCCCACACACAGCTTTTTGTCACAGGTATTTTCTTAAAACTCTCAACTCTGCCCTTAGAAATAGATTCTGTAAGAAGGGCAAACTACCTTTACATACCCGGTTTCTCAGAGAAATTGAGTCCATATGAATGGCTGTAAAGACTGAGTGAACCTGGAAAACAGAAACCTTGGGGAGATCTGTGGTTGGGGCACCAGAGTTCTGGCAAAGGGAAAGCTCCACTCAGCCTTAGGGAATCTTTCCTCTGTGTGTAAATTAAGACCAGTTTCTCCTCATTCTCATTTCCTGAAAAAATACATGGCTTTTCAATTTAATGAATTCCCCATTTAAATACTTACCTGTAAAAATAGAGCGATGAGGCTGGCTAGGTCAGTTGTTGTAGAAATCTTATAATGTCACACACAGCAAAACTCTAATGGCCTCATTTACTTCACGGGTTTATCAGAGCCCAGAGAAGCAGAACTGTGCTATGTATTTTGATAGAAGTGGGCCTTACTCAAGGGCCATATGGCCAAGCCTTGCTGGAGGCCTACACTATGTATGTGAAATTGTTTCCTATTAATGCATTTCTGGTATAGAGTTTATTTTATGGGGTGGGAAAACTGATCTGCTAAAAAACTATTAGTGAAACAGAAAAAATATGATAATACTCTTTGAAAGCTTTATGGGAATGGATTTCTCCCTCAAAGATCTATTCTCTATTTACTAATCCTTGATGAAGCCTGGTAAACAGTGCCAGGTAGTGAGATGAAGTCCCAAGGCTACTTTAGGCTATGGAATGAAGACTACTTGATCACTGCACTGAGAAAGCACAAGAGTGAGGAGGCTTTGTGACTGGCCCCTTGGAGTCTGTTGAGAAGGACATTTTGGAGGGTGTGCAGAAAGATGACTCACACCCAGGCAGGATGGAGCAGGTCAGCCTGAGGTTAGTTCACACCACTGGGAATAGGGTGTCATTTACACCTTAAGTCCTATGTATTTCAGCAAATTTCTATTTCAGATTTTCAAGCCACAGTTCACCCTAGGTCATAGAAAATTTGGAAAATGAAACACCAGAGAAGAAACATGGCTTCTAGTCACCACACTGAAACGTCATTATGTTAGTGGGGTAACAACAGGAATTTCAAGTGATAAAATGTATGTACCTTCACAAGAGCTGGCGAGGTTTAAAATGCAGAAGAGGGAAGAAAGGACAACCCTGGAATTTAAACTCTTAGTTTAAAATGAGTAATACTGTGTTAACAAAAGGAAGAGGGCCTCTCTCTCTCTCTCCCTCTCCCTCTCCCTCTCTCTCTCTCTCTCTCTCTCTCTCTCTCTCTCTCTCTCTCTCTCTCTCTCTCTCTCTGTGTGTGTGTGTGTGTGAGGGGATGTTCATGTATTCATGTTTGTGCATGTATGGACATTGTATGTATGACATGGTGAGTATAGAGATCAAAGGTCAAAGTTAGGTGTCTTTTAGCATTTCCAACTTTACTAAGACCAGGCCTTTTTCACTGAGCCAGGGGTTTCCCTATTCAGCTAGACTGGCTGGCCAGCACGCCCTAGGAATCATTCTACCTCACACATACCTGAATTGGGAGTAGAGGTGGATACCTGCATACTAGGGCTTCCCTGTACGGGTACAGGGATACAGTTCCAGGTCCTCATATTTGCACAGTAAACAGTCTAACCATTCAGTAAATCACTAGAAAAACCTATAGAATTTTTAAATGCTGGAATGTTTTCTTTTTCTGAATTGGCCTCTGTTTGCATGACACTGAGGGCACTCTACATTAATCTTTAGAGAAATGACCTTTGTTCTGAATCATTAAATGACCATTAATTAAATGGGCACACATAAACAAACACTATTTAGGTAACCAGGAACATCCTATAGGAATATATTCTTTTCATGTCAGGAAGACACATCCTATGACATTATGACATTTACCTCAAAGTCAATGTCTGTACAGCAGGTGCATGCAACACATGGACCAACAACTTTTAGAACTTCCTCCTTCTTCTCATTTTGAAGAGTGAACTTGGGCAGACATGGGTGCCAGGTCTGAGTCACATACCCTACCGGCACACCAGGAGGAGCCTGGATTTCTATCTACAAAAGCAACAGTACATGTTGAATGTAACCATGGCCATACCATCCAGGTGTAAGGCATTCTTGAAAACTCTTATTGCACCTCTTCTCAGTTGCTATGGGAACATCACACTGACCTCCTGGAGGCAGCAGGGAAAGCAACAGCTACTGCATCTCAGGGGTCTCTCCAGAGTCATGACTTCTCTGCCAAGATTGTCCAGGATCCTCAAGGTGAAAGGTCTAGCTGCTTCACAGCAGTTTCGAGTACAGCAGTCAGTATCTTCTACAGCAAAGTAAACCATCTGCCCGAGACTGTTCTTGATTTCAAATTTGTTATTTGTTTCAAAGCCTGTTAAGACTGAGGACACACAGGGGAACACATTGACAATGTTGTTAGGAATAGTGACTCTCCTAAGGTAGCAGTGGGGAGGAGTGCTCGAGACTGCAGGGAGCAGCAGGAAAGGGGAGACAAGTAGTGCAGAGGAGATCTGGACTGGGGACACAGCAGTGCCTGACTCACTTCTTTTCCTTGTGGACACCTTACCTCCTCTTGGCACCTGTCAATGGCTGGGGCTGGCCCTAGGCAAAGGTTTTTTCTAAATTCCAGCCAACTTTTCATAATACAAGAAGAGGACACTGGCTCATACAGCTTTCCTGGCTGCCTTCTCCTGGTGGGTGTGGTGATGCACCTATCGGTGTCTTAAGTTCTTTTTGCATCTGGGCACACTGGATCCAAGGAGGCATCTGGAAGCCCTTTTCCCACTCAGAACAGGAGTATGCTCTGAGGAACAGCCTTGAGGGGCTGTGCTCAGCTCCCCTCTGATACCACAGAGCCTTTTACCTCAACTGGGAATCCAGAGCCCACAGGGTACAGATTGTGTAAGCCTCCTCCTCTGTACCACTAACAATAGCTCGGGTAGCTAACAATGATTTTACAAAGAATTCGTGTCCTAATTACTAACGACCATTCACCCTGGGAGCCAAACCACTATATGAGGTTCCATTCAAGTCTCAAACTCATCACGGGCTGGCAGAGAGTGGCTAAGAGGTTTAGGTGAAAGGCAAGATTAGCTTAGTGCAAGCAGAGAAAGATCACCAGCACCAACTGTTTCCTTTCTAAAGCAGTGACATTTCATGGGAACACATGTCCAGCACAGGAAGCTTGATCACCTGACTCCTACTTCTTAGAAGTGGACAGGAAATGGTGTTCATAATATTTTTACAGTGAAGATAGATGTCTGTTGCCTCCTGCCTAAACCTCCCACAGAAGAGTGCTGTAGGAGAGGCAACTCACAGGCCATTAACTCTGTGAACTGCTCCTGTTTCTAGAAATACCATCAAGGCAACAGATACATACCTTCCAGAAGTTCAGTTTGCTGATGAATCAGAAGCTGATCTATCTGTTCCAGAAAAGAGAACATGCATGGGATTATTATCAATTCCTAGCAGGATCAACATTTCACACTTCACATTGTATAGCGATACATTTTTATATATTAATGGCAAATGTTTATTTACAGATACATTTATTTTTATGTGTATGAATGTTCTGCCTATATGCATGTAAGTGTACCCCTTGCATGCAGTACTTTCAAAGGCCAGAAGTGGTAGACAGACTCGTGGAACTGAAGCTGATGGCTGTAAGTGGCCCTGTTGGTGCTGGGAATCAAACCTGGGTCCACTGCAAGACTAGGAACTCCTGAGCCAGTTCTCAAGACCCAGTACCAGTTTGTTTAAATTGTTCATTTCAAAGGGGAGAATTCTTTTTAAGTCAAATAAAGTTGATTTATAATGGAACCCCCATAAAATTACAAACCAGTGTTCTTTCCAGAAGATGAGATTGATTGACAATTTATCCATTCAAATCATTTTCTTGTAAGAAGTTGTCACTTGTAAGTGAAAATATTCCTTCATCTGTTAAACTCCCTGATTAAATTAAGTGTATTCCAGGGTATTTTTTAAAGATTATAATTAGCACTGAAATTTCTCTTCACTAAGTCCAATTAGAGCTGCCCATGTGTACAGTGGAGCACGGGAAGGTTACTCGTGGTCACACCCACAAAGAAGGAGCTTCCTTCCCCAGAAGCTAGCAAGTGTCCAGAGTTCTCAGTTAGGAATGGGAATTCAGGAGCCCCTCCAGCTTCAGTGGAGGAATTCTGCTTGGCTCTTCTTGTTCAGATAACAATAGCTACTGTGAATTCCTGAGTTCATCACTCAAAATTCATCCAAAAGACTGCATTCCATAGCACCCTTCCATAGTCTCCTATTTCTACATTCTTTCTGCCTCCTTCTCTATAATTTTCCTTGAGTCTTGTGTGTGTGTGTATGTGTGTGTGTGTATGAATTCATGAACACTTCTAAGTCTGATGTTTGAATTCACATAGGACATGTTAATGCCATGTGTGCCAGATAGACTAGACATGGCTTGGAGATCACAGGGCCCTCTGGATTTGTTCATGGATTGGGTGTACTTCACAGTCCTCTTTTACCTTGCTAGCTTTTCACACCAAGCTATTACTAAACTTTATATTTGTGCTAAAATTCATTATCATTGAACTATAGTTCAGCAAAACCCATACTTTCTTCCCTTACTAGAGGCAATTATAATGGATTTTCTAAAGAATAAAAGCAACTTTATAGTCTATAAAGCTACATATATGAAAAACTTACTCTTTCTTAGCAGCGGTGAAGCACACCTTTAATCCCAGCACTTGGGAGGCAGAGAGGCAGGCTGATCCCGTGTTAAAGGCCAGCCTGGTCTACAAGGTGTACAAGCTAAGTTCCAAGACAGCCAGGGCTACACATAGAAACCGTGTCTCAAAAAAAAAAAAAAAAAAAAAAAAAAAATAAGGAAAAAATTAAAATTGCTCTTTTTTAGGTATCACTTAAAGATAATAACTAATATTTTTTTATACTCTCTTTTTCAAATACCAAGGCTGTGTGTCAGTCTTGGGTTAAAAAGCTTTCGTACTCACTACCAAAGTTCACATGTAAAAAGTAAATCACAATGACTGTTCCATAACTTTCAAGCCTTGCCAAAGCAGTTGACATCTTTGGACACTCGTTCCCTCTTCGAAAAAACAGTGATAATTATCTTGTGCACACATCACCAATTTTCTAAGTATTATACTTGGAACAATGACTAGAATAATATATAATAGATACTGCCTGTTGGTTATTATAGGCCAAACTCACAGGAGACAAAAACAGAATTGTCTCACACATTGATAATTTGCTTAACAACTGCAATTCATCTAGCAGAACTATGAGTAACCAGAAGGCATAGAGGAAAATATTATGCTTTGGTGAATTATTCATTTGTTGTCCAAGTAAACTAGAATTAGAAATACAATTTTGTCTTTTGTGAGTTCTGAGTATACAGATTTACCTGACTTAAGTATTCGAGCCCAGGTGGGCAGTTCCGAAGAGGTGGTGGTGCTGGCATCCATTGGGTATTAACAAGGATGATAGCCTGGTTATTTTGAATAGGAAGCCGTGTTGCATTATAACCTTCATGGCCAGCTGTTGAGACTGTGTAGGCAGCCTGAGGCCCTGGGTAACCAGACTGCGGACCTTGGTAGTCAGTCTGGAATGTAGGGTGTCCAGTATGTTCTGGAGGTCCTGAAATAGGAGCAAGAAAAATGATTTGCAACTTCACAGAGAAAAGTATTATTCTGGCCTATGATGTTTAAGACTTTTCAATGCAGTCTTTGGGGTTTATACCTGCTTCTAATTATAGGTTTAAAAAGCCAAGTTTATTGTTATACTAGTCATAATCAGCCAATATATGGAATCAGCCTAGATACCTCCCAACATATGATAAAGAAAATTATACACACACACATAAGGGGGGGGAGACAGAGACAGAGAGAGGTTATGGATCTAGATATGGATAATAATAAGGATAATGTTTTATTCAGCCATAAAGAAGCATGAACTCATTTTAGGAGAAAATATAAAACTAGACATCACCAGATAATGAGAAACCAGCCAGATGCACAGGTGTTTCTGTCACCAAGGAGCGACTCTGGAGCAAAATAATTTCCTATATCATTATCGGGTTTTAGACATTTTTTTTTTTAAATCTGAGCTCTGAAATGCACTTCAATATGTGATCTATCTCTATAGTTTCTACTTATGCACCACCTATGTGTACAAACACATACACACAACACACACACACACACACACACACACACACACACACGGTTTAGAGCAACAAAACAAAGCTTAAAACAATAGTAAAAATTAAATTAGCAGACAAAGTAACACATTATTTTGTGACACTGATGTTCCTGAATATCATGTCCTTTGTTCACCGTTATCTTCCATTGTCCCCTTGTGTACCAGCCTATATCTTCCCACTGGGTTCTGACTAGTCCCTCAAATAGCTGAGTCTGCTTTTGATCTTATACAGTCATGGTTTTATAACTAGATTACACACACACAAATAATAAAAATAGGGATGTCTGTTTTTGGCAATCTGGCTTGCGTCTCTATCTCCATCTCTCTGTTTTGTTTTTTGATATGGTTTTTACTATATTGCCCTGGCTGGAAGGTCTTTAACTTGCTATGTAGGGCAAACTGGTGCCAAACACACAGAGATCCACCTGTCTCTGCCTCCCAATTCCTGGGATTAAATGTGTACACCACCACACCCAGCCTTGTTTGTATCTCTTAATGGGGTGTGTCTAGTTTCATCCATCTTCTATAAATGACATTTCACTCTTCCTTCTGTCTTAATAAAACCTTTCTAGCTCTCTCTCTCTCTCTCTCTCTCTCTGTGTGTGTGTGTGTGTGTGTGTGTGTGTGTGTGTGTGTATGTGTGTGTTCTTTCATCTGTTAAGTATCAAGGGTGACCCCATATTTTAGCTGTTACAAATAGTATAGTAATAACCATGGATAATTGTTTGCCCGTGGTATGATAACAGATTTCTTTAAGAGGGGATCATGTGATAGCTCCATTTTAATTTTGGGGGGGGGACTTCAAATACTAGTTTTTTTAATTGACTGCATTAATTTACCAGAAGCACATAAGTCCCATTCTCCACGCATAACTTTTATTGCTGTTTGCTTGAAGATGGCTGAGTGGGTCCCTGTGGGTGTTATGCAGAACAGGGAACTATGTGAAAGATATTAAGAATGAAAACCCATTGCGTACTGACTTCATCAACCTCCATCAGACTTTCAGGAGTCTAATAATAAGAGGTTTATTTCCAGTATTTTTAAGTGTAACATGAAAAATTAAAACCCAGAGATAGATATTGGGGTTCAAGCTGAAGATCAGTGAAGCAAAGCAGCCAGCCACTATCCCTTGCCTATACCTTAGACCAAAATGGCTGATCCTGACTCCAAGAATCAGCCACAATGCTCTGAGTTCATATCTCCTTCCACCTTCTATTCCTTTCTCTGCCCAGCCATATCACTCCTGTCTCCACCTCTGTAGTGCTCACATTAAAGGCATGTGATCCCAAGTGCTGAGATCACCTTTGTGTGAGCTGTTTCTCTTTTAGACTGGAACAATTTTGTGTAGCTCGTGGCCCCTGTCTCCTGAGTCCTGGGATGAAGTGAAGGTGTGCACCACCACTGCCCAGCCTCTATGGCTGTAGCTGGCTAAGCATTTTGATCCCCAGTTGCTTTAGTAGATCATCAACAATATGTTACCAAATTTAAGACCAGTATTGTTGTAGGATGTTTGTACACTGTGTGAACATGTATTTCTGTGATTAGTATAATAAAAAGCTGCACAGCCAATAGCTAGGCAGGAGAGGTAACTACTGGAACTTTTGGGCAATACAGAGAAATGAAGTATCAAAGCACTTGACAAAACATATATTAGAAAAATATGACTTAAGTTATAAGAAGTAATTAGGGCAAAAACCTAACTTTTATAATTAAGGCCAAGCTTTTATAATTAATAATAAGTCTCCCAGTCATTATTTGTAATCTGACAGCCTAAAGAAAAATCCATCCACACAACATAATTTGGAAAAAAGTTTCCTGGTGTAATACAATCCCCACTGCATGAGGAAACATAATTACTATGAAGCTCAACTCAGGAAACACGTCATTTCTTCCCCGAAGATGGGTTCTATCGATACACTGTATGTATCTTAAGGGCCTACAGAAGGATCTGGCCTGGTCTGGGTCATGGTCATACACACAGCTTAGAGGAAATCTAGGCCATTACCCACCTCTGGTCCTGATTGTGGGAGTTTGGGGGAGAATCTGACTATAAGGTTCATTTATTTAGGTTACTAGCCACCTCCTGTCCTGTTTGTTGGAGCTTGATATGGCCTGGTGCAATCATTTCCAGTTCTCAGGTTCCTGGATGGAAGAAAAGGTTTTTCACCTTTCCCAAACCAAGATACCTTTTCTAATATACTCCATACCTGATACTAACTGAACAGAACATGTATGCCTATTTTACATGAGCTGTAAGGTTAATAAAACTGTTCTATGGGTGCCTAGGTTAAAATATGGACAATCTAGGAACTCTCCAAATCTGTTCTGAGAATTCAGAACAGCATTTCTCAATCCAGGCCTCACATTACAAACACCTGGCTTCTCGGGAATTAGCAGTCATTGTTTAGAGGTGTGGCTTAATTTCCCCGTGAATGCTCTCTGTATTAGTATTTTTAAATGAAAATTAATGACAGCCATGGTTGTGAATGGCTGCCTTAGAGGGCTGGAGCTTAGCTAGCTCCTATTCCTTTAATTGCAAACATCTGGATAAGATCTGAGACCCATAGGGAGTTTTCAAAGACAATTACACACAGGCCATTCAACTCCCAAGCCAATCTGTTTCCTCAGAATAGAAAACTAAACTCATGTATCCTTCTGTCAAGGCATAACACCTTCGATATTAACCCCCACGGTGCTCTTTAAGGATCTGGATAGCCTGCTACTGGTAAATCTGGGTACATGATTAACATTGACATTTACAAAAGTCCACTTGTGCCTACAATTGCATTTGCCTAATGTCTGAAGTTGTTTACTGTCTGAAAAGATAAATGAATATCTAGTATGTATTTTATGTGACTGCAGAATGGGGTGGCATGTCTGAAGGAGTGATTCTTCGAATGTGTTACACAATGAAAATGAGGGTTGCTATGAAGTGAGCATTTCTGTTGTAGGCAGTTCCAGTTTTACGTCTACTCTTTCTCACTGAGCACAATTAATTCTAAATACTTCATGGTTCAAAAACACCCACAGTTCAGTCTTCTAAACATCATTACATGAGGCAGTTTTCAGCACAGACGAACAGCCAATGAAACATTTGTTTTACTCGCTATCTGTATCAATATTTAATTTACTTTCAATGCTATATTTCACGAGTAAATATAAACTTGTGTACTGCATTAGTTCCTCATGATGTGTACTGTCCTTCATAAATAAAAAGTGCTTCTTTGGAAAGCATGTACAGTCTAAAACAAAACAAAACCTAGGCCACTACCATTTCCTCAGTGCAATATTAAGAAAAAACAATCACTAAAATAGAGACAGAGTCACCACTTCTCCCTTTTTCTTGGGAGCATCAATTGATCAGAGTCATTGTATTGTTTTCTTCTGCAACAAGTATTTTACCTTGGAGTGCTGCTGGAGGGTACCGAGGGCCATACCCAGCTGGCAAATATGTTCCTGGGCGAGGAGCCTCCATTTGCATGCCTGCAATTCAGGGAGAGGTACAGTTTATCAGCCTAAATGAGATGGGCGACAACAATTCACAGTGCCAACATAATGTGTGGCACTGAACTGAAAGATGCAGTGTAAATCCCACAAGTTAGGCAGTGGCTGTGAAAGCGCCAGCATGTAACAGAATCCTGTCTGCAGCAACTTCTCTTCTAGGTAGCTTCAGGCAGCTCTGTGACTGGGGCTGAATTCCCAGGGTTTTTCATTTGTGACATGAGAACAAAGATAATTTTCAAAGCACACATAGATAGAAAGTGTAGAAAGCAATAAAACTCCCTGTATGTGGTGATGGCACTGCTAAAAATGTGGATTGTTTTTTTTTAATAATAATCTTCGTTAACTCTTTGAGAATTTCATACGATGTATTTTTGTTATATTCAACCCAATTCCTCCCTTCACTCCTCCCAGGAGAGTACAAACTGGAGACAATGGTTTATTAAACTATGAATTAAGTGCCCATAATCATTGCCTTGAGAATTAATTTGGGTTCCTGATGCCTCAAACTGAAAAGAGCACTTGCTGCTTGGTCAGAGGACTAGAGTTCTTCTACCAGCATCCATGCTGGGCAGTTCATAACTGCCTGCTACTTAGGCTCCAGTGGCTCTAATAGTCTTAGCCTGTGGGGGTACCTGAACACATGGCCACACATACATACATGCAAAAAATAAGAAAACAAAATAAATCTTTAGTATGTATACTTCTGTTAATTATCATTTTTATGGTTACCCTGAACCTGTACTACTGGGGCTGTGTTGTTATCTTTTTTTTATTACCTCTTAATCAATTGACCTCAGGCACCCACTCTTTTCAAAGCTACTAAGGGAAATTTTATGTAAATCTAAAAAACCCAAAATTCAAGGTTTGAGGTGGAATTCTGCTGGCTCAGAGAGGCAGATTAGAAAGTAGCAAACCTCCCTTTGTGGTGTCTTCCAAAACACCCAGTGGCCTCCTCTCCACCCCCACTTAAAAACCCTTGCTCAAACACATGGTTCCTTCCTACCACTTCCTGTCAGCTACTTGCTGACTTAGCCTCCTGCTTTGGAGCAGTTTAATTTTATTTAATCAAATACATCTTTATACTGTTAACAAAAGCAGTAGGAAAAAAAAATGCAACACACTTTAAAATAATATTCCCCAACAGGACTGAAGTGTACAAAGTTTCTAAGTTATAACTGACTTCTAAAAACTATACTATTCACTTTTAGTTAAGTAACATATTGCAGTGTTATCTTCTATATATAATATCTTGAATCATCTTAATATATGCACACATTTTTCAGTCTACTGCTTCTCTAGAGAGTCATTTACCCATCTCAAATATTCAATAAATATGAAGTGAGCCTCTTCTGAGCCACTTTTGGTTACACTTCGGGTGATGATGGTTCTGTTATTACAGAATTATGATCTAGTAGACATTATACTTACTTTATTTTCTTCTCCATTTATTGTTGGGTTACTGACCATTGGAAAAATTCAAATGTTTCCATTGTTGAGTTATAGAAACATGGCTTACCATAGAAGGAAACGTTCAGGCTTTCAAACTTATTTTCTTCATGTAACTCTTTTGTAGACATCTAAATATCACTCAGCTTGTTCGTTTATGTGCACGTGAGAAAGGCTAGACTGAGGCCATTCTCCTTTTTCAGTTGTTTCATAACAATTTGGCAGTATAGAGTTCATGGAAACCATAAACTCAAGAAACAAAGAATCCCTTGCCCAAATTCCTGTAACATACCCTAGATTGTTGCGTATCTCTGAATTACCACTGATCATTCCATTAGAACCATTGTCTCCTACTTCTCAGCTAAAGATGAATGGTCTGAACGCTTAGTTCTGCTGTTTGTTAAAGCCATGGCTGTAGCCACACTCTCACCCTGGGTCTTAGAGCATATCTAAAGGAAACACACTCCAGTTCTGATGATATCTATGCTGAAATGAAATGATGTACAGTCACCACTTTTGAATAATATAAACTGCACACATATAACCAGGACCAAATGGATTCAGTAAGTTAGGAGTTCATAGTCTCTTGGGTTTAGGGAGCAAAGAAAAGACTCCAATTTCAGGAGTCCCAAGGGGAATTCCTGTGAAGAGAAATTAAGATAATGGGCAGATTCTCAAGTATATTAAAAACATAATAATTATAGGTTAATTTCTGTATTTGGACCATAAAAATAATAGAATTATCATTTTATCTGGAAGATATCAACTTCCTTTTACATACACATATTCCTATTTATGCATTATATGTATAATTATTCTAATTTATGCAGAACTTCTATTTAGCATATAAATAATGCACATACATACATATATATGCAAACATGTATAATTGTGTGTTTGTGAAACAAAATAATTAATGTCACCTTAGCCAAATGAGTCTAAATTGAACCAAGCCATCATCCTGAAGCTTCTAACATATAAAACAACTTAAGTAAACTTACATTGACCTTTTAAAGCATTTGGCAGGATTTTACATGAAGCAAGTCAAGGCTGCAATTATTAATAAAGATCAACTCCTTGGGAGAAATATAAGGAGATGGTCTAGTATATTCATTGAGGCTAACTTGATGTAAAACATATCAGTTTGTTGCTATTTCAACAAAGACAAAAGAAAAAAATCAAGATCATTTCAGAAAAGCATTTTTTTCTCTAACGAGAAAAATATTTCATTAAACACCTAATAGATAAACAATTTCTTTAAAATTTTCATGGAAGAAAAGACACAGAGCATTATGATGAGTACTTCCTTATATCAGGGTTATGAAAATATACAAAGCTGTGAGCCTGAGGATTTATTAGAATGGACTGGTTGTTTAAAGTTATCATTTTTTATACTGTGACTAAAATAAACCTTGTGTATATAAAGTATACACAGAAGTATAAAACTGTCCCATCTGAAATGTATTCTACATATACAATATGTTTATCAACAAACCTAATATTTAGCTTTCCCAAAAGCTTTAAGGAAAAAAATCCATGACATTGGATATCTCTGCAATATATCTTCTCTGTTATGGAAATTTGAAATAGGCATTGGAAGAATAAAGGCAAAAACATTGTGACAGAAAACAGGTAAATAGATTTAACTTAAGAGGGAAAATACTGAAACTATGTATAGTGTTTAAGTCTATGATTTAAACAGTCCTAGAACAGGCCTTCTGTTAGTATGGTGTATGAAGACAGGCTGACAGGCTCTGGTCAATCAAGGTGTCCTAGAGCTATACATTCTGAGTCATGAGCTAGTCTTCTTCAGCTACCTGGTGTAGCCTCATCTAGCCAGTCAAACCTTTGGCCTTGACCCTCTTCCCATGCTATGCTTTTCAAAAAGACTAGAAATTGATGGCTGGCCCATGACTGTTAACACTTTCCTGAAAGCCTCTGGAAACCAGTGAACCAGGGGTACAAATGGGTAGTGTCCCTTATAAACACAACATATTCAAATTGTCTGTAAAGTTTCAATCTGTCTCCATTACTTTTTTTTTTAAATAGGACAGCTTTTTTCATTTTAACTGATGATGCTTGGCTAATGAAGGTTCTACAAACTTAATAACTTTTAATAGTAATTTTAAGGATTACTGCCCATCATTCTCATCTTGCCTCCATATAAAAAATACCAACGTATATCTAAAGGTAAATCATAAATGACTTCTACATGGACAGGTTTGGGCAAGTTTTCTTTATTTTGTATTTTAAAAGTTAATTTTTTATTTTCAATTCAGTTAACAGTTGAATTAGGATTAAAATTTTTGAACTTTATAGCCATCTATATGAGATATAAATATTTCTCTTCTAAATTAAAATAATTTGGACTATATACCCAAATATATGAGATGGAAATATTTCCCTTCTAGTTTAAAAATATCTTATCATTTGTTTTCTGGAGACAGAGCTTCTCGGTACACCCTGGCTGTCCTGGAGCTTGCTCTATAGACCAGGCTGGCCTCAAACTCAAAGATCTGCCAGCCTCTGTCTCTCAAATGCTAGGATTAAGGGCATGTGCCACCACTGCCTGGCAGTTTTCTCCACCTTAATGATCTATTCTCAGGTGTGTTGCTCAGGTATGAAAATAGCTGGGTATACCTCTGGTTTAATGAATTGGTTAATAATTTATGTCATCATCATAAAATAACTTCTATGAAAGGTAAACAATTACACAAAGACTTTAGAACAAGAAGTAAAATCCATGATGCAGTCCTGAAGTTTCTGGTAGAGTTACTGTATGTTCCACACCATGGGAAATCGTCATAGCACCAGAACAAAATTTTGGGCACACTCTGATGATCACACACATCTTCTGAACCACGGAAGATGTTCAGGGGAAGCTGAGGCTTCCTTCTGTTAGAAATCAGGCTACACTCACCTTCTGAGCTCCATGATAATTGTCACACTCCCAGTAAGGAAAAGAAGAATGCTGTGAGGGTTGTGATGTCTCCACAGTTTATGGTTTAGTAGAAGATTTAAACCCATGCCCCAGGAATCAAGAAATTCCCTTACAGCTTTCAAAACGTTTTTCTGAAATATCATAAAACTATTATGCCAATCAAACAAGTAAAAAAAAATGGGTTCAGTTATTTAATGAGAAATTACTAGTTAAGTGTCTACGCACAAAATTTCCCATCCAAAGTCATTCAATACTCAGGATAAACCAGTTTGGATGATTAAAGCCTTAAGTTTGTAACCCATTACAGGTTAGTTTCCCAATACTCTTTTGTTCCAGACACCATGGCCAGAATTCTATGTCTCTAATGTCTTAGAGTAAGTGAAAATGAGACACTATGTTGGGGGAGGAAGAGAAAGTAAGGTCAGAGATTGAGGTAAAATTAATGAAAATAATTTCATTATTTTCAAACCAAATATTGTTCATGCACTCCTGGCAATGCTTGTAGAAACATTTTGTGTATTTGAAAGGTTACCATCAAAGAAGACAGGCACTTTTGCTGTTGAACTATTTGGGGGGACTGTTCTATGGAGCCAGAATTATTGTGTTTGCACACATTTGGGCTAGAAGATGTCAGTGGCTCTTGAGGACATGGCACAAGCTGGAAGTGCTGTAATGGAGAAATCTGGATAAATGCAATGTACTCTTTGAAACAGTAAAACATTCTACCAATATCCACTTTGGCATTTTAGGATAAAGCAAACATGCTTAAGAACAACTATGGATGGCATTTAGAGAATTTTATTCATAAACTTTGGATGTAGAGTATATATCATCATAAGTCATCAAGCACTAATGGGCCAGTGCACACACATATATACAGAAACATTTCCTATTTAAGTACTTAAATATTAATGTAACAAAAGCCACTGTCACTCAGTCCTTTATGAAATGGTAGCATCTACTCTAACAACTTACAGAAGTGGAAAATCAACTTCATCCTTTAAGTCTGTATTAGTCCCACAATTTCTAAAGCAAGCTAAAAGGGGCTATACATGAAGAAATTCAGGGTTGGCAGGCCTGAAGCAAAGAAGAGATGGTCACACTCAGAAAGCCTCTCTGCCTTCTGCCTGCTGTGCCTTTCTTTCCTGTGTACCTGGTATTCTAGAATGCCAAGCATAGTTGGGCTCCAGTTAATATTAACTGCTCAATAGCTTGCAGGATCTGTGACTGGTTCCTCAGGTTTCCACTGAATTGTGAAGCAGTATTATTAAGTTGAACTGGAGCCTGATGTGATCTTTTCAAAAAGGATGTGGTATAGGATGCTAGGCATGAAGAGAGCCATTCTTTATGACAGGAACACCCCTATCGTGATATCCTGTGTCACAAAGGGCATGGGTAATGTCTGAAAACATCCTGTATAAACTGTAGAGACTCTAGTCAAGGTAATGACAAGCAAAAGTATGAGGGAGAAGTAGTCAACAGACCAGAAATGATATTTTAAAAATGTTTAATAACACTTGCTTCAAGAAAGACAGAAGCAAACAGAGAGAATAACCCTCCAGAGAAGGAATGGGTGTCTGAAACAGGTAAGAACAATTACTTGCCCTTAATGGATTTGTTCTGTGCATTTCAGTTGCGAGCACTCCATTGCCTTGTTAAGTAATATGTTATATATGTTGTATATAGCATTAACCTTCCTTCTTGGGCTGTGAGCTTGGGCTCCCTTGGATGTGAGCTGTCTGGCACACTAGAAGCTAATCTGTAACCTTTGTGTGAGACCTGACAAGTACTAGGACCAGCAACTAGTAGTCAAGGACTGATTATTCGGGTTGGAGGTCATTTTTTTTTTTTTTTTTTTTTTTTTTTGGCTCTTTTGTCTCCATAGTTAACAGTTTTACAAATGTAGACAGTAGATACCTCCTGCATCAGGCCAAGGGTGATGACCTTCTTTGAGACAGTTTAATTCCCCGAATTAAACAGGAAATCATGTTTGCAACCTAAATACCAGCCTGAAATGGAAAGAAAGGCCACCTCTAAAGAAATGCTAGAGAATGGAAGAACTGTCTCCTTATTTAAAAGACCCATGAAAAATAACATCAAATCCCTACCTGTCTACGGGCAAACCTTATTACTAAGCTACGTTTTACCTCTCTAGCCAGAGTCCCTTCCTTGCCCACCTCCACTTTCCTGGCATCTAGGCCATTATTCCTAACCTCCAGGCCATATCTTCATCCTCAGATTCCTCCTCCTGGGGCTTCTGTATTTTCTGGGTCCTGCAAGGGCCACAGATCCTCTTGAGACAGACAGGGCAGCTGGCTTACTTACTTTTGTTAAGTAGTAAATCCTGGAAACCACAGTGGCTCTGCTCTCCAAACCTCTCTCCAAAAGGTACAGGTGCTACACTCTTCCACTCTACTCAAGTTCAGGAGAAAAACACCGTGAAGTGACTCTTGGACAGCTGCTTGAGGCTTGAGTTTCATTTCCTGAGCTTTGCATATAAAAAGTTGACATTTCCTGCAAGAAAGGCACACCCCTGCAGCATAGGTGAAGTCTAGGCAAACAGCACACTGGGGGAGGGAGGGCTTCTGCCCCTCCTGCTCCCAGCTCTGGGGGAGAAATGATCCAGTCTGCGCAAATTTCTGGAACTCGTGGAAATTTCCTCTGACCTGACTTTCACTGCCTTCTTTAGACTCTGGAACTCAGGAATGCTTTTGCTTCTTCTCTTTTTTTTGTTTAGGCTTGCTTTTCTGTTTGTGTGGGGACGGGAGAGTTTGAGTATTTATTCCAGTATCCCTCAAATCTCCAGCCAATGCTGGTTTTCTTTATGGTGTTTTTGTCATTGAAGAGCCCAGGAATATGAAAAATTGTAGGCTTTCCGCATATAGCCTATGCACATATTATTAGCACTGATAGCCATTTTACTCTTTGCCCTGCATACTCCCAGATAAGGACAAGACAATTTAAAGGGAACCACGAGTATGTAAACATCTTGAATTAACACCTATAATCATGAAAGATTTTAGTTTGCAGAGCAAGGATGTAGGAAAAGGGCAGGAAAATAATTCTAGCAAGCAGAATATAGAAAATCATAAAGCATGGACATTGACATGGGAGGAGAGAACAGGAATTATGAAAACAAGAAAGTTACTATGGTGAGGGGGCTAATGGTCATGCTAGGCTAATTCTGTTCAATAGGGCTAGTAACTGAATCATCAATCTCCTGCGAAATAACTGAAGTCTCTCCCAGGTCGTGGCCTATATCAAGGAAATGGGTCCCAACCCTGGAACAGATGGTTCCAGATAAAAGGTCCTGGCTGGATCATGCCCAACCAGTGGACAGTCTGGGGTCTCTCCCTGTCATTCTGTTGTTTTCCCTTTAAAGAAGAATAGGTCACACCTGGGTAATCTCTCAAATGAAAGACCCCCACTATGCTTATTGCCTGTTTGAATTGCTCTTGCTAATTTGCCAAAGTCAAGTTATGAGAAAAGTACAGGAGGGAACCAGGTGCTGCTCTCATCCAACACCAACCAGATATCTGTGGTCTGCAGCTTGGACCAAAGCAAGGTCAGCAGGACGGTATCCGGGATGCTGAGAGAGTCATAACTGAATTCTTTGTATTCTTTGTGCCCAACCCGAATAACCAACTGTCCTTGGTTAACTACAACTGCTACATTTAGATGACACAATGAAATCCCTGTAACCATGCTTCTGCTTCTGTAAGCCTGCTTCTTGCCACCCCAACCCTATATAAACTGCCTGAGTTTTAACCTCGGCACACTCAGTCCCCCGAAAGACTGAAGTGTCCACAGGTACCTGTGTAAACAATAAATAACCTTTTGCATTTGCATCCAGTGGTCTGGTCTCTCTCATCTCTTGGGGGCAAGGGCCTTCCCCCCTGACAGGCTCCAAACTCTTGGGGTCTCTTGGGGGTCTTGCACAAACATGACATTATACTTTGTACTTTGTAATTATGCTTTGTAATCAATCACCTGGTGCCCTGTGCATGCATGAAGCCTTGCGCTCTTTAAAAAGGGCCTGGACCCTCTGAGGGCTGTGCAGCTTTCCCCGATTGCTGGCATCCCAGCGCACACTCATTTAATAAACGCCTCTTGCTTGTTGCATCTCCTGGTTTGATGTCTGTGTTGCAGGCCTCTCCCACAGGCCTATCAGGACCCCGGAATTAGGGTCCAACAATCAGAGGTTGTAAACCCCAACTCTTAGAATGCACTGGGGGGGGGGTACTGTAAACCCAAAGAGCTGCTCCTCCCCTAGGGCAGAAATCTCAACTCCATGTGCCATATTGCCCAGAGGCAGTCTTTTTGTTGGGTCTCAAACAAGGTCAGACAGGGTGGTTTTATTAACATACCAAAGCAGATGCTGGCCACAAGGTTTTCTCTCTGTCCCTCAGAATATGGCTGACATACCCAGTTCACTACCCTAAAACTTCTCTGTCCCATGAACTGAGCTGCTCTTCCCCCAGGTGCCTCTCTCCATGTAACCCAATCATTGTGGTTATGTGGCCCCGTTTTGCTCTACCCTTTACCCATTGGCCAGTCTCTTGGCCCAGGAAGCTCCTCTTTGTTGGCAGTCACCTTTTCCCTACTCCTCTCCTTTTCTTCACATGGCCCAGCTCAGTCTGTTCCTGTTCATTATGAACTCTTCAGATGCCTTATCTGGCTTAAACTCTCCCTCTTATCTACAACAAACCTTCTTCAACATACCTAGGTGCAGTCATGGCCTTTCTTCTTCTTCTTCTTCTTCTTCTTCTTCTTCTTCTTCTTCTTCTTCTTCTTCTTCTTCTTCTCCTTTTTTATTCACGTATGACATACTATCTTGCTAGAACAGCAAGTTTTACAAGATCAGAGATCAGTCAGTTTAAGAACAGTCTCCAGCGTCTGCAGGGGTGGGAGGGAGAGTAGGTTGCTAGGGTGCAGATTGTACAAGATAGGGACTTACATGTGTTGTGGGAAATGTTTTTTACTCTTGGCTTTTTGAGGGGCCCACCACCTGGCTCCCAAATAAATCTCACGAGGAATCTTATTGTTACTTTTGAATTCCTGGCCTTAGCCTGGCTTGTTGCTAACCTGTCCATGTTTACTCTTTGGGCTTTATCTTTCTTACTTCTGTATATCTTACTTTACTTTTTACTCCATGGGGGTGGTTGGCTCATGCTGCCCTACTCTCCTTTTTCCTTCTCTGTGCTTCTTCTGTTTATACTCTCTATCCGCCAGCCCCACCTCTCCTTGTTCCTGCCTTGCTATTGAGCAGCCATTCTACTCTCTATTAGACCATCAGGTGTTTAAGACAAGCAAAGAATCACAGCTTCTCAGAGTTAAACAAATGCAGCATAAGTCACACACCTTAAGGTAATATTCTACTACATACATGTTAGAGGCATTGTTTTACTTTTTTGGTCTCTCAACCATAGTACGTCTGAACTTTAAATGAATTGTTAACCATCATGGACCTTAATTCTTAAGTTCATTTTTCTTTTACACAGGGCCGTTTTTTCCTATCTCCCTGTACTCCTCCCCTCAAAGTCACTACAGAATTCTTAACAGATAAAAGTTCTAGAGAGGGACTAGAAGTTAGATTCCCTGATAGGCAGAGAGGAAGACATGGCTACATAATAAAGGTAGTAGACTTCCAAAGGGGTTGTTTTCATTTTCGCCCTTCTGACCCAAGACAAAAGGCTGGCAGCTCAAAAAAGGGCCTAGGGGCCGCTTTCTCTTATTGTGAGAGCCAAGGTTACAAGTCAAGGGTTAACTACTGTGCCTTAGAGATCCATGAAACACAATGGTGACTCTGATCTGCAAGCAAGCCCCTTCCCCAAGCACAGATAGTGCCTGAAATGCTAGAGGCTATTGTTTATGGGAGATAACAAGGTACCTGATTCTATTGCCTAAATAAGTTTGTTTGACCCATCTGCACTGGATGTGCTTTATCACATGTGGGTGGGAGGTTTATAGTCAGGACATACTCAGGATGGATGCTTGCCCCTGACTGGACCTGATAGGAAATACTTAAGCCACTGCAAGCAGTGGCCATTTTTCTGGGAAACCAGGGATGAATATGGCCAGAGCCCATCCACTGGTCAGTATTTAATTAAAGCTTGCTTCAAATCTGGTTTTCAATTATGGCAGTGGTCTTATTCTCCATTGGTGGGATTCACACTGTTTTTAAGCCCCCTGCTGATGAACTTGCTGAACAAGTTCTTGTTTTACACAACATCTGTGGGCCAGTCCTGGTCCTGGTCAGGACTTGTTTTACCCAACAACTGTGGGCCAATCAGTCCTCCTTGTCTTTCTTCAAACTGACAAACCCTTAAATAGGAGAGGAAGACTCTTCAGAGACTTCAAAGACCCAGCCCTTGAGAAGAGTGGGCTTTTGGCTTCCTGAGCTTTCCCTCTGCATTTTGGAGGGTCTTTTGCTGTCTGCTCCAACCCTGTGTTTTCCTTACTTAATAGCCACTCTTCAAATGCCCATTCTGTCTGCTGTCTGAGCTTTCTCCATGGCTATCTCTCAAGCTTGAGATTTTTCCTACCTGTTAATTCTTTAACTGGCATAGGAAATGAACCCCATCAAGACCACTAGATGTAGTCTGTAGCAATGGTACAATTGTGCCCTTAACTAAAGACAGACCATGTTTCACTTACAAATGAAAGCCACAGCCAAGGATGTAGATGAATTGGTAGAGGCCCTGGGCTCTACCCTCAACACCCCAGAGATGGGGAAAACTGTTAGCTAGGGTGCAGTGAAATCATGCAATTATATCCCTCTATGGGTAGGGAAAAGAAGGTCTATTGAAGAGTCAACTGAAGGGTCTTTCTCTAGGTAATTAGAACAGCAAATGGTAGAAAGATCCTTGCCAGTTTAAGGGCAAAGGGGGCAGGGCATGTGAGACAGAAAAGCCTGGGAGGTAGAACAGGGAGGGCAGAGGGGCAAGGGAAACCTAACCTAACAACTCAGAAACTTGATTGGCACTTTGATCATTTACAGGCTCCTTTGCATTCATCAAGAACAATATGATCACTGAGGGGTTGCATAAGGGAAGTAATGGCTTTTCCTGTCAAGCAAAATGCATGCCTGTCACAAGATTTCTAAGGAATGGGGCCTTCAAGGTTTTTTTTTTTTTTTTTTTTTGTATCCACTAGCAATCTTCCTGTTTACTTGGCCAAAGTCCAGCCTTAGCAGACTCCAGACTGTTGTTTAGAACATTGCCAGCTGCACTACCATTAGGGTGTCCACTTTGGACCTAATAAAAACAAGCTAAAAATAGATATATAAGTCTTTATTTGAGGTAGCTGACTGTTGTTATAGTCACTAATTGATGAGGTTTATATATGTTCCATTTACTTAACATCTCAGCAGTAACTGATTATTCTAGAAATATTAGAATTACAGGAACTAAACACTTCATGATAAAATAGTTTCAATGTTGTGCCACCAGAAAAATTTTGAATTTTAAACATGAGTCTTCCTTTAGCAGACTATCTTGACTTCCTTTATTCACTGGGAGCCACTTAAAAGTTGTCAATACAAGTCTTATCTGGTGGGGTGTGGTGGCACAAGCCTTTAATCCCAGCACTCGGGGCAGAAGCACGAGAATCTCTGTGAGTTCAAAGAGCCAGATCTATATAGCAAGGTCCAGGCTAGCCAGGGCTACATCTTGAGACCCTGTCCCAGAAAGCACCCAACACCCACTCACGCATGCATGCACACACACACACACACACACACACACACACGGTACCATTATAGCATAGCATATATTGATTTATATTACATTATTATGTTATAAATGTATTATTGGTATGAAAAGTATGTAAGTAGATACTGATTTTCTAAAGAGAGAAAACACATTTACTGTTTCCTTACTAATAACTAACCCTACAGTAAAGGAAACAAGCACATATTTTAAAGATTTTAAATAGGTAGTGTTTACACAACAACATAGGTCTTTTGTGTAAATTATAATTACATTTAATACGTAATTTCACATTAAATTACAATAATATTTAAGTTTTTATAAAATGGAAAATAAATCAAATATTGTGAGACAAAACATTTCTCTTAGACAAGGCCATTTCTGTGTGTAAAAATTCATATATTCTCTCACTAATTCACAGTGAACATGTTAAGGATGTAGAAAAACAAATGCATGACAAAAGTATAGAAAGTAAGCTATAGTTTGAAAGCACAGCTGTACAACATGGGGTATAGGCATCACAGTTAATCAACACAGTTATTTCAGTAAAGGAAAAAGAGTCATGTGTGTTCCTTTCAGATAGTGTCCATAAGAATGTAGTCCTTGAGTCTCTTGTGGAAGCTCAAGAAATTACTGCCATACTCCTGCCCTTTGGTCCTCATTTCCAGTTTTTTCAAAAAACATGAAATCCTGAAGAAGAAGAAGAAAAAATAAAAAAATAAGAGTTTTCAGTAACAAAACAGAGACCAATCCCCACATACAAAGGGAAGTTATAAAAATTAAGCAGCAAAAGAACAATGGGAAAACACAGCTAAGCAAGCTCTGCCTTCCTCTTCCCATTTTAATAGCAACCAATTCAACCTTTTTCCCTTTGCTCTGTTCAGTATCAGTCTCATTAATGTCCTCATAAATTCCCCAGATACCACTTTTTCATATCCCTTTGAAATCTTTTGATCTTGCTTCCTTAACTTTTGCTAGTCCTGTCTAGGAATGGAATGTCCCTAGTGACAGGAGTTCCAGGCTCAGGGTTTGACTTGGAGCTGGTGCAACCTTCTCAGTCAGAGAGCATCACTGGTGGAGTTCACTGGCCCTGGGCCAGCAGTTCTCCTCAGAACAGGCTTACTGGCTCCCCAGACCGTTTTGCCCTATGAGAGTCTAACTTGACATTTATAGCAAATCTTAGACTATATCCTTGGATCTCTTTTATTTCCCTTTCCCCTTCTATCCATCTGCTTGGACAATTGCAGTGCCACTTTCTTTCCAGTCACCAGGATTTATCACTGAGTTACCAAGACTTATCTTTGTCAAGCTGGATTTCTACAAATTTTGTCTAATTTTAAGTGAACAAGTTAATTAAATTCTTCATGGTCTCTTCGGTGCCTAAAAAGTTGCCATCTTCCCCAAAGCACCAATTTTGTGCCTTACAATAACTCTAAGTCCCAAGACCTTTGTCTTATGGGTAAACATGGTCTTCTTAATCAACTGTACTAGCTTGTGTCCACTGTCATGTTAAATGGAATTTCAGACCAAGTTGGACTGTGAGTACTGATATAAAAACCTGTTCGTTTCATAAGCCATTTTGGAACACAAAATGATTTCAGAATGGCACTTCTTAAGAAAGACACTGGTAAAGAGGGTTAGTGGGAACAGACTTACTATGAGGAAACATGCTCCAAGCATCACAGCCTTCATCTTCACATCAAGGTCTAGTGGGAACTGGATCCCAAAGTTATCTGCATCTGTGAAGGCCTCTCTCACTAAACCAGACCACTGCTTGGAAATTTTGCCAACCACAGATTCTTCATCTAAAGACTTGAGCTGCACAACAAAAATACAGTCATAAACATTCCAAAAAGTAAATGGCAAACCTACTTTCAAAGTTGCAATTCAATGAAACAACTATTGAATTAAATTATATAAATTGTTAAGCGCCAATAGATTTAAGTAGGTCCCTATAGCTATTAATTGTACACTGACAAGAATAACATTCTCTGGTTCCTGCTGAGATAGACAATATAAACTCTTACACTTAAGGCAAAACAAATTTCAACTGAAATAAAATTAATTCTTCACTGATATTTTCTAGAACCACTGGGAAAATAATAAAATAATAATTACAACTACTGTTCAAATGCTGCTTCAAGAAGCTTAGTTTTCTTGTAGTCTTGATAGTTTAAGAGTGGTAGAGATTATTGCCACCCATGGGCAGCAGGCAGTGGGAGGCTCATGAAATGCAAAAGCTAAGAAAGACAAGCTGTTGGGTAGAAGGGACCAACAAGAAGCCCCATGGAAGGTTCCCAGGGCAGAGATGGGGTACAACTTGAAAACTCGTACGGTGTAAAGAATACAAGAAGGACAGTATGTGAAACCAGATCTCCAATGTGAAAAGTTTCTGATTTGGGAGCTCTGTGGGAAAAGCCCAGGGCCCCATTTTACAGTACAAGTAGGGCACAAACTAAAGCCACTCCACAGAGGGCATGTAGATGATCACCAAAGTATGTACACATAGGCTTGAGCCAAAGGAGGAAGACATATGTCCTTTTCAAAGCCTTGAAAGGCATCAAAGGAGGGAGCATCCTCCTTTAAAGCCCTTGCCTTAGATGGGCTCCACTAAGTAAACATGGGGACATTTCAGAGGTAATCAACATCTTGGTGTGGCTGGAGGATGGTACCTTAAATGTGTTGATGTTTACTTCTAATATAAATGAAAAGTCACAAACTATTGCTCATAGAATAGTACTTTCATTCCATACCCACACTACACATAGTATACTTTCTCTTCCTTGAAAATTAGGTTTTGATATATGTCTAATTTGATGATAGGGTGTGGCAAATGTCTTGAATCTTCACCATGGCTAACTTGCTTGGCCTGGATGTTCACCAATGAGCAGTATCACCCATTGAGCAGCTGTGGGTTCAGTCCTATGACTCACTTTCCTTGAGCAGATGGCTGGTTACTTCCTGGTCCAAGTTAGAGCCATCTACATGAGCTTCCGTCAATGCACAGAAACTCAGCTGACCTAAAGACCATAATGTGAAAACAGTGATGTTGACTGACAGTTGTATCAGATATAACATTTCGATAAGCTAGCCTACAACAAATCATCTCTTGTAATATCTTAGCACTTTATGTGCAATAGCTGTCATAAGCATTTATAGTTAGTCATAAAGGGCCATATAAACCAAGGATGAGAAAGGACTGGAGATATAAACAGTACTTAGCAAAGTGCAAAGTGGTTTTACCATTTATATATTCTTGTTCCAGTGTTTACTGTATAAATCAAAAAAACTAAATGTTTTAAAAAGGACGTTAGTAAACTAGAAAAATATGGTAATACTTTATGATGAAAATAATGGGAATGGGTGTTTCTCTGAAAAGATCTTATTCTTGATCAATCTTGCCCTTGAAGTGAAGTGAAGGCTACAGAGGTCATGTGGTTGCTTTAGGCTAATCATTTCCCAACTTGTGGGTCATGTCCCCTTCACAGATCAGATATCCTGCATATCAGATATTTATATTATGATTCATAATAGTATATTATAGTTATGAGAAAGCAATGAAAATAATTTCATGGTTGGGGTATATAACACGAGGAACTGTATTAAAGGGTTGCAGCATTAGGAATGCTGAGAACTACTGGGCTAATGTATAAAGGCTCCATGGTCATCAGTGACAGAGTAGAAGAGTGGATTCTGACTGACATTTAAGATGCTTCATATAAGACTATGTGGAGGGTGTGCAGAAAGATGACTCACATCCAGGCAGGATGGAGTAGGACAACCTCAGGTTAGTTCATACTACTAGAAAAGGATGTAATTTACATATTATAGGGTATTATTTCTGGAACATTCCATTTTATATTTATAGAGCCATTGTTGACGATGGGTAATAGAACCTGTGAAAATTAAATCCTTGAAAAAGATGAGATTTTTTAAACTAATCATATTGAAACTGTCATTAATAATTTGTAATAATCTGCATTTGGATTCTCAGCATCCATATAAGGAGGTGGCATACAGGCAAATGACCGTGTACCACCTCTTCTAGGAAAAGTGTACACTGGGATCTTGGTTAGAAAAGACCTACAGAATATGGCATTTAAAATGCTTTAAGAAGTTAGACTTTTCTGGATAGTGAGACATGTCTGCTCCTGGCAGAACCAATTACTTCAGAGAGGAAGATGGGCATCAAAGAAACTCATTATGAAGTTTACTTTCGACATGGCAGGGATAGCCATTTGGACAAGAAACTGTTTTTGCCTGAATTGCTTGACAGCACCCTGTCCAAACTGAACAAACAGGTTACAGAGAAAAGCGACTGCTGAACTTGCCAAGGGTTCCTGCTTCACAGAAAAGTTTGCCAGACACTTTGGGCCTATAGGCTGAAGACGGATGCACCAACATTACAGAGGAACTTTGGGTGATGTCTCCCTGTGAATTCTAGAGTTTATATATTATCCTTCTGGGGCTTTTGATGAAATTGAAGATAGTTATAGTTATGGTTTTCTTTAGTTGTGTTAAAATATAAATCACATAAAAAATTTTAGACTCACAAAGATAGGATAGATGATAGAATATTTTCTTTAAATTTTGCCAAATTTAGTGGACTAAATATTGTTAACTATAGTTCTTGCCTGTAACTGTTTTGTTATATATAATTTTACTAAGTTAAAACCTTCCTTTATATATTTAGACAGAAAAGAGATTATGGGGGATGTCCTTCTGTATGATGTAAATATATGTTTCTCTTATTGGTTGATGAATAAAGCTGATTCAGTTAATGGACAGCCAGGATGTAGCCAGGCAGGAAGTCTGGGGGCGGGGGCTACCAGATGAGGAAAAATCTGGGGGGAGGAGGAATGCAGAGAGTGAATGAAGAGCGAGATGCCATGGAGCTGCTGAGGAAGCAAGAAGTACAGCATCACCATAAGCCAAGACCATGTGGAGATATACAGGAAATGGGTTATTAATTAAGAAAGAGCAAGCCAATAAGAAGCCTGAGCCATCAGCCAGTTTATTTGGGACTGTGTGTTTATTTGGGACTAAGGCTGCAGGACTGGGTGGGATAGAAACTTTATCTTTAGGATACTTTCCTTGGAACAGCTGTACCTTGTCATGCAGAACAAGGGAAGAAGGAAGCGAGAACCCAGGAAGCCCATTTTAGGGTATAAACATAACAGTAGTTAGTGTTTGTGTGTGTGGGCGTTTATATTTGCGCATATCAGTATGCATTTTTGTGGAAGACAAGTATGTAGACAGGGTTTAATGCTCTCAACCTTATTTTTGAGACCGGGTCTCTTGATGGCTGATGAAGCTAGGCAGCAAGTCCCAGGCAGTCTTTTGTGTCCATCTCCCCTGTACTGGAACATAAGCATGAGCCTCTACACCATTCTGTTTACATGAATGTTAAGGGTCCAAAGCAGATGATTATACCTGTACAGCAAGCACTTAGTCAACTGAGCTATCTCTTCACCAAAACATACAAAGGTTTTAAGAGCTAGATTTTTTTTTTGTTAACTTTTCTTCCCCCACTAAAGACCTCTGCTTTTCATCCACACTGACCTTTAATCAGAGTAATTGTTAATCATTAATCAGATGGGTACGCATCAACTCACACTACTTAGGTAATGCATTAGGAACATCCTATAGCAATATATTCTTTTCATGTCAGGAAAACAAATCCTGTAGACATTATGATACTTCTTACCTCAAAGTCAATGTCTGAACAGCAGCTGCAAGCAACACATGGACCAACAACTTTTAGCACATCCTCTTTCTTCTCATTTTGAAGAGTGAACTTTGGCAGACACGGATGCCAGGTCTGAGTCACATACCCTACCGGCACACCAGGAGGAGCCTGGATTTCTATCTACAAAAGCAACAGTACATGTTGAATATAACCATGGCCATACCATCCAGGTGTAAGGCGTTCTTGAAAACTCTTATTGCACCTCTTCTCAGTTGCTATGGGAACATCACACTGACCTCCTGGAGGCAGCAGGGAAAGCAACAGCTACTGCATCTCAGGGGTCTCTCCAGAGTCATGACTTCTCTGCCAAGATTGTCCAGGATCCTCAAGGTGAAAGGTCTAGCTGCTCCACAGCAGTTTCGAGTACAGCAGTCAGTATCTTCTACAGCAAAGTAAACTCGCTGCCCAAGACTGTTCTTGATTTCATATTTGTTATTTGTTTCAAAGCCTGTTAAGACTGAGGACACATAGGGGAACACATTGACGACGTTGTTAGGAATAGTGACTCTCCTAAGGTAGCAGTGGGGAGGAGTGCTCGAGACTGCAGGAGCAGCAGGAAAGGGGAGACAAGCAGTGCAGAGGTGGTTTGGATTTGGGACAAGGTAGTGGGAAGGGAGGAGACTATTAAAGTAAGAAGGAAAGATGTCCATATGTGAGACTTCCTAAGGGAGAAGGATGCATCTCCATGTCCATGGACTCTATCATAAGGGGCTCCAGTGTCTGTGGTGGTAAAATGATGAGGGAGAAGATGGAGCTAGAAATGTAGATAAAACTCATGTAATCGGTTAGAGTTTTGCTTTAGGACTTACAGAGTGATCTCTCTCTCTCTCTCTCTCTCTCTCTCTCTCTCTCTCTCTCTTTCTCTCTCTCTCTCTCTGTGTGTGTGTGTGTGTGTGTGTGTGTGTTCATTGCATTCAAAACCACAAACATATATATAATTTTTCCATGCCATTTTGGCACAAGCAAAGCAATGAAAGGGATTTTCCCAAAAGTACAGTTGTGAAAAATGAGAGTAAAAATGAAATGGAAATGAATCTGAACAGGACATTGGGCCAGGGAATACATAACAGTGGCTGGGACATGTTAGACAAGAGGCATAGTGCTTAGTAGCCACATCTTCAATTCATAGCCTACAAGAGTTATACCATCATGGGTCAATAGAGTGATGCTAAATCCTCCTATGCAGAGAGTTTCAAATGCTATATTGCTATATTGACTTTCACACTGTGATCTTCTATTTTTGTTCAGCCAGGAAGACCAAATAGATGTCTGTCCTCGTTCATAGCCCTCTGATACTAGAGTCATGATTCATCAGAAGATTGTCCAAAACCATTAGTAATTACTTAAAATTTGTAGATGCTCAAAGTACTCTCTGCTCTCTATACAAAGACTTTTGGTCATCTGGAGATGTTTTTTGTCATGATGAGCTCATTGAAGTGCCTTTGGTGGTGTTGAGGTAGTCTGTGAGCTCTGCACTCATGGAAACTTCCTTTCTTTCAACACTTGGCTGTCAGTCAACTGATACAGCAGATAGTATTGTTGTTTCTATATGTTAGCCTCAGAAATCTTGGTCATGAAGTTTGACAATAGTTTTAGTCTCTAATTTTCCTTGTGATTACTAAAAAAAAAAAATGAAAATTGAAACCATCAAAACAGTTTTATGTTTGCCTCATTCCTGCACATTTAGATCTGAATACAGGGATGCCAGTAATGCACACTGAAAATGTAAAATCTGAGTGATTTGACTATTATATTACACGTAATATAAAAAATTAAATAAAAGAGAGAGCGAGCACTATAGTATCTTAAAGCTCATAAATCTAAGAAGAACTATATTAAAATATTGCAGCATTAGGAAGGTTGAGAACCACTGTAAGAGACATCTGTAATCTCCTGGCTGAACCTCCCACAGAAGACTACTATGGGGGAAGCAACTAGCAGGCCTTTAATTGTATAAACTGCTTCTACTTCTATGAATACCATCACTACAGTGCATACATACCTTCCAGAAGCTCAATTTGCTGATGAACCAGAATCTGATCTATCTGTTACAGAAAAAAAGAGAATATGGGCTTGAAATTAGTTATTAATGTTTCATATTTGTATTGCTTTTTTATTTAAAAGGTAATATTTTTTAAAATTTCAAAACATTTGTGGAAATTATTTACTACATGATAACATTTGGGTCAAACAAATCAGATTTATAACAAATCCCTGTATATATGAAACAGTATTCTTTCTAATAATTTCTAAAGTAATATTTATAACACTTCAATTTATTATCACTTTTGTTCTACAAGATGGAAAAAAAATCATGTGTGATCAATGTCATCATTTGTAGTATGGGTAGATTTCTTTTTTTCTTTTTTGGTATGTATAGGATGCTAATTTTTTTTTTAAAACCTCTCTTGAAGTTATTTTGTGATCAAACAATTGATAAGACTTTCCCCATCTTACTTACACTTTGAGTAACCTTTGGAAAATGAAGTTCCCACGGAGTATCCACAGAGATGCCTGACTGAGTATTGGATAGTTATCATAAGGCTATTTGTTTATACGTTTATCACCTAACTAATTTCCTTTATCAAATAATTGCTAAAACTCATACTGCTGTATTGTGGGATAATTTGATGACACTATGAACTCCAAGTTTGTATTTGTATTAATTAAATAAAATCAACCTTTGGTCAGGCAGCCTAGTTAACAACTAGTTGGCAGGAAGTAATCATAGAGTCAGAGGGTGTCTGACTGGGAGCAGAAGGATGCTTTCTTTTGGAGATGCCAGCAAAGAGAAAAGGTCAGCTAGTTGCTACTCAGCCTCTCTGAGCTAGCAGGTTTTCACCCCAGCCTTTCATTCTTGAGTCTTATTGATACATGGAACACTAGAGATTTAATTAAAAGCTATATTTGGTAAACAGCGACAGAGCCAGTGCTTGTGGGAACAGAATTCCTGCCAGGCCACAGCCTGAGTGGTCGAGCCACTGCCAGAAAAGCAAGCCAATAACCATGGAAAAGCATTTGTTGGCTAAAACAGCAGTAGATTAAAGTACAACCTCTGTGATGATGGAAAAACAACACTACTATAACTCTTTATCATGTAGTGCAGCATATTCGTGGCATGTATGTATATGTGCGCGCACGTGTGTGTGTGTGTGTGTGTGTATGCATATATATATATATATATATATACACATATATATATATATGTATATATATATATATATGTGATAAAAAATCTATCACTCAAAGGACATAAGCAAGAACATTGATATGGGACTTATTGGTGCTAAAAATATGAGTCGTATTATGAAGATGTGAATTGGGGTCAACATGAAAGAACAGTGAGTCCAGTATCAAAGTCCAGATTAGAAGGCCAGGCCCACTGTTGTGGGCAAGGTATACATTTTTTGCTCCAAGTTTTTCTCCTAAGAAACATGATAACTATAACAGCTATAAATCAGAGATGTTCCTAAAATGATCTAGTGAAATAATACATGAACTGAGTAGGAAACTGAACTAAAAACAGTGCTTAATAACAATTGTCTAGGTAATTTCAAAATTATAGAAAACCCAATTACGTTGTACACTAATATTCTCCTTAAAAGCGAATTTGACCTAGAACAATTAGAAGTATCTAGCAGTAGAAATGTTATTTTTCCATTTCAGGCATATATATATATATATATATATATATATATATATATATATATATATATATTTTGGTCTGATATTACAGCTCAAAAACTTACAGCACACATTTATTTTCTTCATGAGTAGTTCATGCATTTATGCATTTACACTTGCCTGAGTTAAGTATTCCAACCCAGGTGGACAGTTCATGGGAGGAGGTGGTGCTGGCATCCATGGGGTCCCTCCAGGCCCAGCTGGATGATTGTATGCTGGCTGATTTTGGACAGGAAAGCCACCCGGTCCTACACTTCCATAACCTCCAGGTGGGACTGGGTAGCCAGCATGGGGTCCTGGATAGGGTCCCTGGGGCCCTGGATAAGGACCCTGTGGTCCTTGGTAGTCAGGCTGGGGTATAGGGTAGCCATTCCGTTCTGAAGGTCCTGAAATAAAAGCAAGTAAAATAAATCATCACTGCAAAGAGAAAATCGGTTCATTAGAAGTATCCCAATTATCTACAACCCGAGTTCTCATCTCAGAAATCTTATAGATTCAGAATTTAATTGATGCTATAACTGTTAACCTGTCGGGAAATGTGTTCTAATAATTGGAAATGGGGTAAGAAAACAAGCTCTGTCCTAAAGTCACAACATAACCCTTCTGACATTCTATGACAGAAAATCCAAAATTTGCACTGATGTGAAGGAGTCTGTGAGCAAGATGATGGCACAGGAGGTGGTCACATGATGCAGATTATACTGACATCTTAGCATGAGAAAGGAAGGGCTCTCTAAGTGAAGGGCTGATGAGATGTGTTCCAGGTGCAATGCAGGAAAATGTCAAACCCACACCACATGAAAATAGGGAGACACACATACCCGCTTGAAGTTAACTATGAGGTAGACTGAATCCATCTTAAACTTGCTGCAAGTTCTCCCAATGCCAGTTCTTTGGGAACTTAGCAGAGGATTTTCAAGCCTGGTCTCACAGTAGAAGAACCTGGTAATTCTGAAATTACCAGGTCCTGAGTTCACAATTTAAGTGACTCAGAAGTGAAGCCATGGTTGACAACTACTGCCTTACAACCTTGAAACTCAGACAGACCATATTCTTTCATTATAAACATCTGGTGAAGATCTAGGATCTCCAGAACAGTTTCTATGACAATCTGTTTGCTCAGCAAAGAGAACAGACTGTGTCAACCCTTCTGCCCAACCAGAGCACCTTGACAATCCCCAGGTTGTTTTATAAAGATGTGGCTAGCTGGCTACTAGAAAATCTGGGTAAACCATTTGCTTGTGCATTTGCAGAGGTCAGGTAATTCTCACTATTGCATTTGCTATATGAAAATCTTTCCATTCTTTTACGCATTGGTTCAAAACAAGATGTAAAATTTGTATCTATCTTTCTAAGACATGAAAAATGATCATTGTAATTACAACATAAAGTTTTTTTTTCTTTTCTCTTTTAGTAGTGGGGATTGAATTTATGTTCTCACACATACAAGGTAAGCATTCCACAGTTTGCTTCATCCTGACCTTATTTGTAGTTTTACCTTGCATCGGGCTTTTGCTAAATGCTTGAACTTACCACCTGCCTGCCTCATCTTACTATGCTTTTAGGATTACGGACCCGCATCTCTATACTTGGCAAAGAGTAAAGGTGTCCATCATACATGTCACAAAATGGAAAGAAGAACCCAAGGTAGCTCCCATTGTTAAGTAGTCTTTTCATTTATCCACCTCTTTAGTGAACACAATTAATTAATTCCTTGTCCTATATGACTCAAAAACACCCAGGAAAAACTTTCCTAATTTTCATGACATGATCATAGTCTTCACAGCAGATGAACAGTGGATGCAAGTAATTCTTAATTGTTTCTTTTTAAGTGAAACATTGTTGCTCAACATAAACCTACTCCAGACTTTATAGTTCTCCTTTATATTTAACCCTTACTGCCCTCTGTAAAAGATAATCCTACGGAAAACACATGGAGCAAAAGAAAATAAAAACTAGCAAAGCTGCTAAAATTCCTTTAATGTAATTTCATGAAAAAGAATTACTAAAATGAACACATATTGCCCTACCCCCTTTCTCTCCCTCTCTTCCATATTTCAATTGATTAGTGTTTTATTTTCTCTTCTGCAACAAGTATTTTACCTTGGTATGCTGCTGGAGGGTACCGAGGGCCATACCCAGCTGGCAAATATGTTCCTGGGTGAGGAGCCTCTGTTTGCATGCCTGCAATTCAGGGAGAGGTACATGTATGTCAGCTTACATGAGATGTGCATCAGGAAGACAGTGCACAGTGCTGAGACAGTGTGTGATGAAGAACCGAACCGGGCAAAGAGAACTCATCATGTTGAGTCCTGTCTGTGAAAGAGTTAATGTGAAGGAGACTTTTGTTTCAAGCACACTGAGAAAATTGATTCACACAGTTGAATGAATGGCATGTGCTTTCTGTTTTTGAAATTTACCCTAAGTGGCTTAGAAAAATCAGAGAACTATGAGATGGATAACTATCACTGGAGAATGTTTAATTTTACTTTTATGCATACATATAGATGTGTATATATTTTATGTAAACTTATTAATATACATACACATTTTATTTTTCTTTAGGCACAAATGTGCCTGTATGCACAAAACTATGTAAATGCAATGAGTAAAAAAGTAATTGTGCCAGTGGACAGGTGAATTTCTCTAAGCTGAACAAACTGTTTGTGTGTAAAATAGCTCAAATCTACACAAATTTATATTTCAAAGGCTTTAATTTTGCCTTATGAAAACTTAGGCCGACACAAGTGTCATTAAGAAAACTAAGTGGTCTGGCCTGAAAGTTGTCGAATATACTAGTCAAAGCTAGATTATGGTGAGATATGTATCATTTTGACCATTACAACAAAGATGGGGAAAAAAATTCTAAGGAAATGATTTGAATAGCAATATTTTCCAAGATATGTAATGTTTTTCTTCTCAAAACTTAAAGTTTGATAAGGCAAAATCTTATATTGTAGACTATATGTTTTATTTAGAACTTTCCTGAGAGGGAAAAAACAGGAAGAACAATGTGATCAATATTACTAAATCCTAAAGGATATGTTTATTGTAAAACACACATCATGAAATTATGCATCTGAATGCTCTTCAGATATCAAAATATAGTCTTTGATTAGTATGACCAGAATAATCATTATGTATATAAATTGTGTCCAAAAGTTCAGAAAAGTTCTTTGGATAAGATATAGTACACTCTGCATGATATATCTATCTGTACACCTAACACAATCCTTTCTCTGTGGCTTTCTTGTTAGTAAATGGGACCACTGACATTTGCGTCTACCTTCTCCTTGCTAGAATACTAAATAAGACACTGAGGATCATAGCATAATGGTGAATCAGAAGAGCAATGTCAAGAACTGAATGAGACATTACAATCACATAATGTCTTATCAGATGATATTATAAAGAAGAAAAGTAGATTTTCAACATGAATTATTACTTACTGTGTTTTTCCATGATTTCAGCAGTTCTGAAAATAGATTATCTGTCGTTAGTCCATTATATACAAACTGTGACTGCTCCAAAGTGCTCACGAACTATGTAGGCATAGGTCTGGTTAGTCCTCCTCATCTAGTCTAGCCTGATCTACCCCCTCAAAGTTTTGGGTTTGATCCTCATTCCCATAACTCTCCTTCTTAGTAGAATTTCAGAAATTTTTGAATGGCCATGGTGGACATATTTCTAACAGTTTTTAGAAACAGGACCCAAGGAAGAACACCATGGAAGACCCCCCTCCCCAAACTGGTGACAGAGCCAAATGGGCAGCCCTCGCAATCTGCACTTCTAAAACAAACATGTGGCTCATATATGAATCTCTGAGCTCAGCTGTAGGAATGGCCCAGCAAGGAAGCAGAAGTGAATTTCCAGAGTGCAGGACTGAATCCTGGAATCCAGGATCTATGGGCTGCCTGCCTTTTCTGAGCCCCAAATATGAGAAGGTTTGATATTCTGTTCTGTGGATTAAAAGTTACTTGTAATTAGGGGACCTGGTTAAGGTCCTAATGGTGCCAGTGTTCTTGACAATCCTAATGACTCTGCATCTGACTCCTTCTGCAGAAGCATGCATTACAACAAAATTTCTACTTGGTCCTGTTCCCAGTAACTGGATCCCATCTCAGCTTTATCTACTAACGTCTAGGTACCACATAATGTAACTCTAAATGGCAACTCACTCTGTGTCTACTGATTACAACTGAAACATAGCAGACAAACATTCCGTTACTCAAAACTTTTATCTTGCATCCTCCTGAATTAAATTGGTGCCTCCTCTCCGCTGGCACACTCCAGTGTTGGCTGTCCTTTTACTAACTCCCTATACTGTGCAATTCTGAGTGACAAAACATCCAATCAATGTGACTACATAACTAATTAAATCCAATATTCTCAAGAAACAAATGCCATCTTCTACTGCATTTTAAAATTGTTTATCCACTGGCAATTTTAAGTGTAAAATTTCATATCTTAATGAAATATTTACTGTAAGTATTATCATCCCAATTTTAAATACTTTATATGCAAGAAGTTCAGCAGTAATCAAATAAATCTCAATAGACTTACTCTAGAATAAATCTAAAAAAAATTTGTTATTCATTTAAATTTCTATATTTACTTTGAACAATAGGAATGTGATTTTGTATTAACTAGCCAGTAGCCAGCTCCAGGGGCTCTCATCAATCCTTAAGGGCAGAAATAAAAATAGGTATTTTTTTTCTTCAATTAACCCACTGGGCATGTGTAATTCCAGTAGAGCATAAGGTTATATATATATATATATATATATATATATATATATATATATGTGTGTGTGTGTGTATGTATATATATTCTTAATGTGACATATATATCATAAAAGGAAATCCACACAAACCAAATGCCATGATCATCTACCTCAACATATACTGAGGCAGGTTTTTCACTAAACCTAGAGCATGCCAATTCCTGCTTGTCTATCTAGTCAGCTTGACTACGGGATCTTTGTTTAAAGTATTTCTTCTCAGAATGTGGTTGTTTTGGTCTAGGAATTTCTGGGAAGCTGGAAATGAAAGACATGCTAGAAAGAGGGGAATTCCTAAGCCATGTCAAGAGGGCCTTAAGAATGTGGTGGTATAATGTGCTGTCTGCATAATGTAACCAACCCATTAGGCACTGGGTCCATCTGTCTGGGGAGCTAAAGAACATTTCCTCCTTGCACAGAGATCCCCAAACAGTGTATCTTTTTGGTGTTTTCTTATTATTTTATTCCATAATTTTGAGGCTTTGTCTATTACTGTGGGGAATACTCATTAGAGAAACTGCTGTAGAATAAAATATGGGTTCTTATTCATTTGGGGTGTTAACATCATCTCAGGATTTAAAATTGTATGGTGGGATCTAGAGGAAAATATTAGGTTGCCACTGAGCTGTCCATGTGCCACTTAAAATCAGCCGTGTGTCTAATGAATGTAGGTGTGTATTGTGTGGCTGTCCACGGGGCTGCTCTACTCTACTGTTGAAATGACCTCTGCCTTCACTTTAGCACAGCTCATCCCTCTGTCAGCACACCTTTGAAATAACTTGCAATTGTGTTCCTTACTGATGCATGCACTCCTTATTTCAACCTAATGCCTTTTTTTTTTTTTTTTAAAAAAAAGCTTTATTTATTTTATGTGTATGAGTACTCTGTCTGCATGTCTGGCTCTCCAAATGGAGGCATCAGATCTCATTACAGATGGTTGTGGGCCACCATGTGGTTACTGGGAATTGAACTTGGGTCCTCTGGAAGAGCAGTCAGTGCTCTTAACCCCTGAACCATCTCTCCAGCCCCAACCTGATGACTTTTAAATAATGTTTTATTTTTCCTATTTTTTTTTTTTTTTTGGTAAAGTTTCAGAAAGTTTTCACAAAAAAGGAAATATTATTTATGATGTTCCCAAAAGGGGAAGAGTATGTAATAACATATTAACTACCTGCCCCAGGTAGTTGCAATTTCCCAGAACAAATGAAGAACTTCAAAAAATACCCTGATTACTTAATTGTCTTTGCAACTACATTACATGACTCGTTTATAGGAAATTGAGGCACCATATACATATTAATGCAAATATACATCAATTCAATTATGTAGAATTTCTGTTTTGTCATTATAATAGGAAATCACCATTTCTTTTCTGGGCTTGCTTTTTTAAATTAATAATTTAAATTAAGACAGTGTTTTCTTTTGACTTTGTGAGATATGCATGCACTGTATGTACATGTATGTTTGCATGTGTGGAAACATGGGCTATTCTTTAGGGGCTAAAGTTGACAATGGTATCTTCTTCATTTGTTCAGTACACTTCATTGCATTTTCTAAGCCGGGTTGTTCACTAAACCTGGAGCTGGCCAACTCCAGGTGGTCTGTCTAGTCAGTGTGACTGTGGGAGCCATTGTCTCTGCTTCCCGCATGCTGTGCCTGACTGCAGGCAATGGCCACACCTGCTGGGCTTCTGTGGAGTCTGCTGATCCCATCTGCAATCCTTGCGCTTGCACAACCAGTGAGGTAATCTACCCAGCCATCTCCTCAGTTCTTTTCTGGTGTTTTTCATAATTGCAAAACATTCCCACCTGTGACAGGGAGAAACCAGGAGGGGCCACGATCATGTTTCACAATCCATACCCTACAGAGAACACCTGTCTCTTGGGATCTCAAAATGTCTATTGCTTTTAAAAGCATTTTGGAATATTATAACATTACCTGTGTCTATAAAAACAAGTACAAATTAGATTGGGGTTGTCAAATGCATAAGAATGAATGCCTCTCCTTAAATTATCCATTGTAGGATACACACATTCCCCACAGCCCAAATATGTGCTAGGAAGACTCAGCAACACCCCATGACTTCCAAACCACCATTAGCATTAAACAATTGAATGAGATCTCATGGTGGGAAAACAAGCAATGTAGTAATCCAAAACAGCAAGGGAAAAATGACAGGAAGTCACAAACCAAATATTTTTCAGGTACTTTTAGTTAAATTTTTAGGTAGACTTTTCATATCTGCAAACCATTTAACATAAACCCATTTCGTCTGTGAAATCGTGGGAATGGTGATAGCCAAACTGAGGCAAATAAGTATGCACATATATTTCCACAAATGGGTGCTTCAAGGCATTGGTGACCATCTGGGAACAGAGCACCCCAGACTGTAAACTTGTACAAGAAGTACACTGCATACAAGTGCAATGACCCTTGAAATAGGAAGTTTCCCTCTTAAAATCCATGTCTCTATTTCATGCTCAGGAAAAGGAAGCAAGCTTAAACTCTGAATGAAACATTGCAAACTTTGAATGAAAAGAGATTGTGGGGTGGTGGTAGCACACTCCTTTAATCTCAGTGCTCAGAACTCAGGAGGCAGAGGCAGGAGGATCTCTGTGAGTTCACGGTCAGTCTGGTCTACAGAGAAATTTCCAGAAGAGCAGGAGCTGTTACACAGAGAAACTCTATGTCAAAAAACAAAGCAAAGAAAGAAAGGGGGTAGGGGAAGAAGGAAGGAAGAAAGTTGAGAAAGAAAATAGATTATACACCAAGTAGAACCTATTGGAAATGCAGTGCTCAAGTGTTCTACAAAAGTAAGAAGTAAATTTAAAGAAGCAGAAATACATCTTGAAACCCAGTTATGCTTACTAGGTTCCTGTATGATTTCAAAATGCCCTTCTGGGGAGCCCGGTGCCCTCTCATTAGTTTGAGATACTTTTTGCTTACTTATAAATGGGGCACCTAGGCCCATGAAACTAAAACTGTTGTTTAATGCCACCCCATTCACTAACTGGCTTAATTGACATGGTTTCCTTCCCACCTTTGCTTTCTTGCCTTTGGTTTCCTGAAAAAGGAAAAAAAAAAAAAAAAAGGCTTCCAACTTTCATTGACATTTGTTAGCAAATATCAAAGCCTTGGATTCCCAGTTTATTCTTCTAGTCAATAGTTTAATAGCTAGGTAAGCTTTTTTTTTTTTCCAAGAATTTAATTTGAAAATGAATATAACCCTTGTTAACACACATTAACCAGAGAGCTGGTTTTATTGAGCTCTGTTTATTTAACAATGTACTTACTACCAGCCTGTGTTCTGTACACACACAGGCATATAGACTTTTATAAATATTTCCTGAAGTAATAGTCACTTTGTGAATATCCTGTGGTTTCAAGGGGGTATTTATGGACAGTATAGAGCTTATCCTGTCTATACTATATATATAGCACATATACTGTCTGTAGTATATATTCAAACAGTATAAAGGCTATATGTCTATACTATACACCATGCAAAGTTCTATGCAAACACTTCCCCAGTAAACCTAGAGGCCCTGGACTGATGAGTCACTAAGTATATTGTATAGAATATTGAAAATGCTGTGAGTGAAAACCATAGTGAGATTAGAAAGGTTTATAGGGATACAAATTTACATAGGAGTGGCTGTGGAGCCTTCTGGATAGATGAAAGTCTCATTCAAAGACAAAAAAAAAAAAAAAAAAAAAAAAAAACTATCATCACCCAGGCCATGATGTTAAGGGTGTGTGCAGTGAGTACTACAGACAGGTGGGACCACACAAGCAGAAACCCTGAAGCTAGAATCTCACTTGATGAACAATCTGTGAATTACACAGCAGAGGAGGGACAGGTACTTTAGAGGTAATGACAAGAAGAGCACAGGAGACAGTTAGCCAGGCAGAGGCTCCACCTTACACTAAACTCCTTCCAGGAGTCTGATGCTCTGTGCCCAGAGGTGGGGACTCTCGCTGATTTACCACCCCTCTATTTCCTTGTTTGTTCATTATTCAAAGTGGCCCAGTTGTTGTAAGCACCCAGGTAAAAAGCTCTGTTGTTAGGAAAACTCTAGAAGGAAAATCCCCAACCTGTCTAGTGCTTTTCATTAAGCTTCATTTGCACTTTACCAATTACCTCCCATCGCTGAGCCGGAAGAAAGCATAATTGTTTGTCTTGGACCTGGAAGGTGATCATACACAACTTCCAGGAATAAGATTACAGAAATATATTCACAAAGGAGGGCGGGGCGAGCTGCGGGTGTAGGGGCTTTGACAAGTATTTGCTAGAATGAAAGCGGAGTTTCACTTGATTCTTTATTCAACTTATATTAACTGATGCCAAAGTGACTGAACACTTTCGTTGTTGCTTTTTTTTTTTTCTTCGTTCCTTTGTTTTTTTTTTTTTTTTTTTTTTTTTCTGGAGACAGGGTTTCTTTTGTGTAGCCCCAATCCTGGCTCTTCCTGGAACTTGCTTTGTAGACCAAGCTAGCCTGGAACTCAGAGATCCAACTTCGTTCCAAGTGATGAAATTTTGAAAAGTGACACATTTTTAAGTCTTTGTATTAGTTAACGATTTCAGAGAAGAGCTGAATATACATGAAGAAACCAGGTCAGAGTTCAAGGCTATGGTGTAACAGAAGACTGAATCCGCAAGAGGTCTTACCCATTCTGTCCTTTATCCCCTTTATATTCCCTATTTTGGTTTAATAGAATGGTATGCATGGTTTGAGTTCTAGCTGTACTCCAAAGGAGCACTTGGGTCAAAGAGCTAGCAGGCTCTTTGAACATTTTGTTTGTTTGTTTGTTTTTCCCTTCCCTTTCCCTCAATGGGAACCCAGCATGGGCTCTGCACCTTTGGTAAGAGTGTTACCGCTGAGCTACAAGTGGGTCCAGCCTCTGGCCCTAATTCAGAACTGCCCTGGGCTGTAAAGCAGTGTACTAAGCTGAAGAAGGTCCTGTGGGTACTTTCAAGGAAATTATGCCAGTTTGGTTCCCGGAGCAACGGTGGGGACTGCAGGACCTCTCTCTGGCTGAGTTCTCGCTCCACTTCCGGGGTCACTAACCCAGGTCTTTAGGCCACTTCCCCCAATCTCCACAGTATAACCTCTGCCTCTGCCGCCTGAGCAAACAAACGGTCCGCAGTCCTGGCTCCTGCTCACCCCCCCTCCCCCCATCCTCACCTCCAGCGCCCATTCTGGTACCCTGCTGTTATGCGCGCTTGCAGATCGCGAGCTCAGTCCTGGGCGGCACAGAATGCGGGACTCACCTTTTGCCGATCAGCGGGGGTAGCTGAAGCCAGGGATGTGATCAGCGGGTCCAGAATCTCAACCCCTTTTCTAGCGGCGCAGCTGTAGTACAACCTTCCCAGATGACTCGCAAGGAGACTCAGAGTGAGGCTATGGACCAGACCAGACTGCACCCTACACTCCAGGATCCTCCAGCTGTGCTCTGAGGCCAGGCAGTTCACCTTCCCGCTCCGCCTACAAGCAGCTCTCCGACTGGTGGGTAGGAAAAGGAAGTGGGACTTTTGATGGCCTTGGAAGGGGAAGGTCGTTCATCACCCGGGGGGAGTGGCCTCTTCTGGGAGGTTTCTTTACATTGCCCGATCTCAACCTCTCCACCTATTGAGGTTCTGTGCAGGAAGTCAAGCGTTACTTTCCTACTTTGCATAGTTTCCCAAGGGGTACCACATCTGTTCCATCCTCCCTGATTGCACTCTCAAGTTGATTGAACTCTTTCCCTAGCAGCATTTTTCTCGCCTTTTAAAAAGCCTTACGGCTTTTCTGGCCTTCTGGTGTTAGCCATATTACTTTCTTTTTATTACAAGGCAGAAAATTACTGCCCTTAACTGGAAAACATTCAGGTTTGGTTTGAACTGTTTCTTGCTTACAGGAAAAGCAGCATCTGGAGGTTCTCAAATCACAGCCTGGAAAGAACTGCCTGGCTAAAACTACTTTTGAAGGCCATGCTTTCAAGTTTCTGATTTAGTACTCCTGGTGTGGAACCTATCTAAGAACTTTCCCTATGGCGTGGAAGGTAATTTTTCCTGCCTTGAGTGTTATGAATCATTTGGTATTCTTCGGGACGTTGTGTTTATGAACAGATGATGGAAGAGGGTTACAGGTAAATTCCTACTGGTGAGCTCATCCTTCTTTCCCTGTGACTGGTGCATTTCTAAGCATATTCAACCAAAAGAAAATCTTGTACCTGTGTATATATTTCTGGATACACATAAATATGTATTCAGAGGATATATTGTTCCTTCATAGAAGTCAATGATGCGAGGAATTTCCATGTCATTGTCAGCCATAAGAGAGAAAGACTTGAGAAAGGCGAAGCTCACATATTAAACGATCCCGAGAGCACGGTACACCGATACCTGACAGATGGACCCTGAATTTACATAGCTCAAGGTGATTTGTGACTTGAACCTGCTTGCTGTTAGGAACTCAGGACATTTATCACTATTCTTCACCTAATTTCAAAAAAGGACCCTTCTGCATGGAAGGGTTCATTTCATTTGAGTTTTATAGTATGGTTATAGTTATTTATGAGTCTTTTTTTTTTTTTAAGCTTAAGCAGGTGCAGTTTATTTATAGGTAAAGCTCACAGTCTTGAAAACATTAGAACAACCAAAGAATCTTCTTTCTGCCCTCACCTGTGGCGTTTCCTAGGCTAACTGCTCTTATCAGGAGCTCCAAGGCTGTCTCTGCCACAGGTGAGATGGGATTTCAAGGGAAGTAGCTGCAGGGTTTGTCTCCCGTTCTGATTTCTGTGTGCCTCAGGTCCACCTAAGTTTTCTCCTTGGAAAAAACTAACCTTAGCAAATGATTTAAATGTTGTATCCCTAGCACTAATTCCTTATGAATAACAGGAGGTCAAAAATAAAATATTAAACGGGTAACAACTGAATGGACATGTCCATGTTGGTGTTGTGTGTGGATACCTAGCAGTATTCTAAGACCTGGGCTCTATCCTAGGCTTTAACATATGGTCTATTCACAAAAGAAGAAAAAGGGCTCAGCTGCATACAGAGGGTTGGGGGCCATGCAATGAACTGGTAACTCATATTTCTATTCATATCATGTATTCTGAATTATGTAAATTGGGGGAAAAAGCTTTGGAAATGTAGTATGGAGTCTTCCCAGAAAAAGAAAGAAATTATACCTTTATCTGGGAACTTCCATTAAAACTAAAACAAAAACTCCTCTAAAATAAATGAGCAACCAATTATTTCAGCAGCTGTATTTATAAATCTTAAGTCTTTTTACTTAAGAAAACTATTTTCTGAAGTTTGTAATAAAAAAATTCCAAATGAACTAAATAAATTTTCCAATGCTTTTCACTGCAAAATGGAAATTTGACATTTTAAATAATAATGTATAGAAGTACATCAAAATTATCCAAACATTTATTACAACAAAATCATATATATTACACAAAGAAGTTATTCATGAAGGAAGAAGAGTAATGGTAGCTTTCTTTCTATAATCGATGGCTTAACTAAGTTGTAAAGGAAGAAATAGAAATAGCCATGAGCAGAAGGCAGTACTAACGTGAAAAGAGGCCGTAGTGTATTTCGAGAAAACAAATATACATAGCTTCAACAGAATATATGGTGTTGGCAGAGATTCTTCAGTTTGCAATAGACACCAAAACTTGTGTTTCCTCTTCTAACAGAAGGTCATTGTTACTGAGGAGTGCTTGTTTGCCATGGCAATATATTTTATTGTTTCCAGGTGTGATTGAGATAGTACCACTGTCATCTAAGAAACAGATGCAAATCTAAGAAAAAAAAAAAAGAAAGAAAGAAAAGAAAAAAAACAGATGTGCCTTCATGGTCTCATTGTCCTCCGTAAAATTTGAAAGAAGAGGAGTGGCCAAGGTGAATGCAATCAAAGCATGTTATGTGCATGTTTTACTTTCTGCAATACGCAAAGCAGAAGGGCCTCGCCATTCCCTCTCATATCCTTTCTCTTCAATTCAAGGTCTGCTCATCAGTCAGAGAAATCCCGCTGGGACAACCATGTCAGAGAAAATAAGTTATAGGTGCTAGCACTGTCTAATCTAACCCTGGAAAGGTTGAAAAGGAATTATGTAAAGCAGATTTTATTGTGGAAAGGGGAAGATGGTGTGATATAACTTTAAGGACAAGAAAGACACTATTAAGTTCTTGTTTATAAAAAATCGTTTACGTGAAGAGTAATTTGTAGGACTAGAGAAACAAGCTGAGAGGAGATTATTTCTTTGACTTCTCAACACCAAAACAGTGTGAGGCTAAACTGAGATACTGAGATGACACTTAGTAATATTTGAAAGAATATAATCAAAGCATGTTATGTGTATGTATGAAAATATCACAATGAAGATTTATCTTGTAAAATTAATATATGCTGATAAAGAAAAATAAGCGGTTCTTGATGACTAAGTAAATTGTGAGAAGAAAAGAACTGTCACAGATTGTCCCTACCTTAAGCAATTGACCAGGCTCAAATTCCAAAAGCATTATAAGACTATAAGACTTTTTTTTTTTTTTAGTGAGGAATCAGCACTTGAGTCAGACACTGAGTCCACCTCACAGACTGCTGGGCACTCTAAAATATTAGAGCAGGACACAGGGTTGGATACTGGAACTCGGGACACACTCATCCCTAAAGCCCTGTGATCTTTTACTTCTGTAGAGGAAAGGTGTGAACAAGGAAGGGCTAGGATTGGAATGTAACCAGGAAGCAATCTAAGATGATGACACTGTCAGTTTGAAGGAAACCAAACGGAAAGGAGCAGATCAGAAGGGGCCAAGCCTTGCTCCTAAGTTTCCTTAAGCTGCACGAAATAACAATGAAAGAGGCCCCCATAGCTCAGTGGTGACTGACTAAAGTGTCCAGTTTATTGTGCTCTCCACCTCTCCCGTTGCATAGGGGGACAGAAGGAACAATCAGAACCCACACTGTGTAATTCCATGCCATAACTAACCCTGTGACTACACATCACGAGTGTGAAGAAAGTAGACTCTCAGCACGTGGTTTCTGCCCAAGGGCCCAGTGCTCTTCCCCCCCCCCCCCCTTTCTTTCTTCAGGCAGAGCATTCCTTTTACACATCAAGTGAGGGACAAAAGTGGGGTTGCTCTGGGGGAGACAAGGGCTACATATTTGTGCCTGCAGGAGCCCATTGCAATGTTATCACACACACCTGAAAGCTTTGCTATTTTAGATTTTTTTACTTGCACATGTCGTTTAGCATTCACTCAAAATGCAAACCAGCAAAAGCAAACAAAAAGAATTTAAGGCCTAAGGGTTCCCACTTATTAAAAAAAAAAAATGGCCAAACAGCTATCTAAAATATAATTATCATTAGATTTGGAAGAAAGTCTAAGAATGAACAAGATGTTTTTACAGATTTTCTCAATGTCTATTCATGATTTAAAAGCTGCTAGTGACTCTAAAAATAAGGCCGAAATCTTAGCAATGGTGAGATGGAGTCTGTATTTCAGGTGTTTAGAGAATATAAGAGAAAAATATGAAATTTAGACAATGACTTCAGAAAATGGAAATACTATTGTTGCTAACCAAGTTTACTGAAAAGCAAGTATAAGTGCTTTTAAGACTATGAACCAGAATTACATAGCAACACCTCTCAAACGAGGGTCATGTCATTATGTCATAGAAAAGAAATTTTAGAAATATTTACTTATTTATTTTTATTAATGTGGGGGGGGGGAGAAAGAGAGAACACTTAGTACACTTGCAGAAACCAGAGGACTTGGGATCCCATGGAATTGGAGCTACAGGTGATTGTAAGCTGCTGGATGTGGGTGTCTGGAACCAAACCTGCATCATCTGCCAGGGCAATACATGCTTCCAGTCCCTGAGCCTTCTTTTTCAAGCCCATACCTTTAAATTGGAAATATAAACCTTACTGAAAACATCATAAATCAAACAAGAATATAGACAGACATTTTGTTAGTTCTATTGGCAATTTGGGGTCATCTTTCTGCAGATTATAATATTTAGATATAAGATATAGTCTCCAGGGTTCTCTAGAAAATCCCACTCACTGGTGTGTTTCTACAGAAAGGATTCAATGTAAGTGATGTCATCCTGTGATTATGGACACCGAGAAGTTTTATACTTTGCTCACTGTAGTCTGGACGCCCCAGAAACAAACACCAGTAAGTTAGTCCAATCCAGGGCCCAAGCCTGCAGAATCCGCTGAGCCAATACCATGGGCCCCAGTTGGAGCCCCAAAGCCTGAGAACCTGGTTAACCTGGACAGTGGCATTGTCTTCCTCTGTGTTTTGTTCAGGCCAACATTCACTTGCACCCCCTTCAGTAAGAAAGAGCTTTAAATCTTGTGCTGGATACAATTCCAACAGTTCAGCAAGAGGATATAGGCTGAAGTGAGATGTTCTAAGTGCTGGCTAATCCTTCACTCATTGGACCTGGGAGTAATCAGCCTACTTAAGTGACTACTCAGTTCCTCCAGAATTTGGCTAGGCAAAACTCTTCATCTTAGAAATCCCAAGAAAATAATCTGTACAACATTAGGAATGGGAGGAGCCCCAGTTCTGCCAGGCAGAATAAACAGCACCAGAACTCAGAATTAATTAAACCACAGAGAACTTGTAAGGGAGGCTCAGGTCTGATTTTAGACTGGAAGAGTTAGCATCAAACTAGGATATACTGGGAATTATCTGCTCTTGTCTCTAGAAATATTAATTATTGAGCACAAAGGGATGACTGAGTGTCTAAAGTCACATTACTATCCTTAGTGTCTCTAGCAGAGATAAGGAAAGTTTTATATTTTTTTTATAGAGAGAGAAAACTCATGGCACCTTGTTACTCAATGGTTAAAAGAGGCTCTTGTCACCTCAATAAAATACTAAATTAATACAGTTTAGTGCTCCCACATACCAATCAATCAATAATTTATCCATTAGAGAGAGAAATTGTATGCTTAAGATTATTTTTAAATATAAGATTCATATTCATAATCTAATATTATCTAATCCTGTTTTAGATGGAATAATAAATATGTGACCTTTCTGTTTGTGTTTTTAATTCTAAAACCAAAATATAGAGGTTTTTTTATTGAAGTAAATTTTTTAAAAATATTTAAGATATACTTGAATGTTGAAAATTTCCAGGAATCTCTCTCTCTCTCCCATGCCTTCTCCTGCAGAATCTGTGAATGTTAAGCAGGCTGTTTTCTGATGAGCTACACACGCACAGTCCAGATGTTGTTTTTGTTTGTTTTCTCTTCTTTTTAGTGAAAAGTGTTCAAGATATTATAAATTATTATAAATTGGTTCTACTTTATTAAATGAAAGTCAGCCTATTTTGTATTTACTTCTAAAATTTCCAAAGTGGTACTAGAGACAGGACAACTTGACTCCATCAGTTTTAATAGATGTAATGCCTGAAAGCCTGTTCCTTATGTTTTATGGAGATTGCTTAAGCACCTGTCTTCTCCAGGGCCTTGATAACCTCAGAGCCAGGCAGATGTTCCCTCTGGACAGCTCTGAACAGTTTCCATCACTTCTACCCCACCATGGCCTTTGGCCATTTTAAGTTTGGTTCAAAAATTAGTTATGTTTGATACGAAGGATCTGCTAAATACAAGCACCTAAAGCATTCAGTGTGAATATTTTCTCAATAAGGATGAAAACCCAAATGCTACTGATAGTGTAAATGTTCTTACTTTGCCATCGTGCTGTATGGACAGAGAGCCTCAAAGGGTAAAGACATGGAAACAAAATACATCTGCATTAGTTTAAAATATGCCTAATTTCCAATTAGGTCTTTGGTAGTACACTTTTTCCATAGCAAGTTAGCTCTTAATGTGTTTGTTAGATTTCCCAGGCAGTATTTATGAGAAATTCCTTGCTCTAAATATTCATGTCAAGCAATATAATTCTGTGTGCTTCGGATTACATTTTATGCCAGTTTCAGTATGCTTTATACAGAGTTGAAAATGTGACCACAGCTGAAGGGATTGAGGCTTGTTTATTACTCTTGGGGCCAATTCTCTTAAGATGATAATAGCTTGCTTCCTGCTTTGCTAAAATAAATGCATCCAGTTATTGTAACAAGTCTTTTTCTGTCCTACCAGCCAGCTCCCAACTAATGACACAGAGACTTTAATTAATAATGAAAGCCCAGGCTCTTATAACTTCAATTAACCCATTTGTATTAATTTTCATTCCATCATGTGGCATTAGCTCTCCTCTGACTTGTGCCTCCTGTTTCCTCTCCTTGTCTCCTGGCTTCTCTTGCCCCTTGATTCCTCCTTCTCTTCCTTTCTCTCCCTGGAAATCCCACCTATGCTCCCTGCCTGGCCATTGGCCAATCATCTTTTTATTATGCCAATCACAGCAATACATCTTCCCGCAGGTACAAACATCCCACAACAAGTTATGGAGATTAGCATCTAGTTACGTGATCCCAGCATACGAATGTCTCCATTAACTTGAATTTCCACATGCTTGTGTTGACAAAAAGCACACAGTTTTCACCTTAAAGGGAACAGAGATAGTTTATTCTGTAGCCAGAAATGAGTAGCCACAGCCCTACACACACATTCAGTTTCCCCAAATATCATGTTCCACTGTGAGTGTGCTTACAGGACATTTTATTAGTTACAGAACAAAGAAAGTAAAGGGTCAAAGCATTCTTCAAATACATTGTTAGAAGCCACCGGTTTGGGGGTGACAGGGAATCGGGTTTCAGATGATGTCAGCTTTTGTATTGGTGAAAACTAGTGATCTGCTAAGAATAGAGTTTAAGGTTTTGAGAGTTATAGGATGTTAGGACAGACACAGGGTGGGTGGTAGATAAATAACTGGAACCCAGAGTAGCCCAACAGACTTTATCTTTGGTTTGCATCATTTCCTTTTGTTTTTCTTTTTAAAATAAGTTACCATCTTTTGACATTTAAAATGTATTTTTATTCATTTGTTGAAAATTGTATAATGCAGTGTCATATTCACTTCATTTTGGTCATGTTCACGTCCCACTCCTAGATCAACTCCTCACGCCCACCCAACTTCATGTCCTTCGCTTCCCCCTTTGATTGAAAACAGAGTCTTTCCTCATATACTATACCCTGATTATAGTTTCTCCTCCCTCTTCTCCCATTTCTCCTTGCCTCCCATTTCATCCAGATCCACCTTTTCTGTCATTTATTAGAAAAGAACAGGATTCTAAGAGATAACAACAGAGGAGACCAAAATAAACTGAAATATGATAAAAAGCAAAAGCCATCACACTGAAGTTGGACAAGGCAAACCAGCAGAAGGAAAAGAGCCCAAGAGAAGGCACGGGAATCAGAGACACACCTTTTCCCACATCCAAAAGTCCTATTAAAAATACTATGCTGAAAGCCCTTTGTTTGCTGCTTCAGTCTCTGGGAGTTCCTCTGAGATTTGCTTAGTTGGTTCAGAGGACCTTGTTTTCCTGGTGATCTTCATCAACATTTCAACTTCTCATAACCTCGATGTTCTGTCTTGTAGTGTCTTTAACAGATTTTTGCCTCTCTCCTCCTCTTCTGCTTCCTTTTCTTTTCTTATCTTTCCACCCTTTCCTTTGAGAGTGTCAGTTTACACTTGTCCAAGAGATATATTCTGCAACAAAATACTCTTAGAATTCATATTTTATAATGTTAGGTAGGGAAAATAATTTTGCCGTGAGATAAATGTAGCTAGGTGCCTCAGCTCAGCTACTTTAGCTTTTCTTGGGCTCAAGGAACAGGCCCCCAGACAAGGAAAGGCATAGTGAAGGTACTTCCTGTAGTGGAGGCTTGCATTCTGCGTTGGGCCATGGCAGCTAGACTGCACTGTCAAGTCTTTGCTAACTTATTATCAAACTGGTCAATCTCTCAGAGTTGTTGACTTTAGATAAATATGTCAGTAACTGTGCTCATGTTCACATGAAACCCTAGGCTTAAATCTGTTACATTCAGAAGTCACCTTATATGATCAAATACAATGCATGAATTGACTTTGTATTTGCTAAACTATAAACTCTGGGAAGATGACTCTGCCTTCCTTTGCTATCTCCTCTCTTAAGGGTAAAAACAGTATGAACACAGTTTGATTTGGTATATCACCTAATGTATTTCCTGACACTGATTGAATACTCAGTATCAGTGTGACATATATCAGACTATGATATGGAAATATTATTTGATTTACTGCAACTTTAACTTTTTTAACCCTTTTTTATTTCTTATTAAGATTATGTTTAGGAATATAATTTCCAAGATTATATGAGTGGTTGTATCCATGGGAAAAAACTCAGCTACACAGACCACCCAGGAAGAGAATAGTAACCTGGGAAATATTAACATTGTTCTGACTATAATCAGAACCTCCTGCCGCTAGGTAAGGTTTTTTTTTTTTTTTTTTTTTTTTTTTTTAACCAGAGATATACCCCAGCATACAACCTGCACTCTTTATGATTGAGACTCTTTTAGAATTGTGAAATGCACATTTATTTCCATCAATTGTGAAACTGAATGATTTGAAAAGGTAAATATGGAGTCTAATTGTTATCTCATGGTAAAAGTATTTCAGTTTAGATACTATGTTTGTGTTGTATTGTTGTTAGTACATCAAACTTACTGAATCTAGCCACTGTAGAAGATAAAGGTGAACATCTTCCCTTCTCTTTGCTTTGCCAACTTCTTTTTTTTTTTTTTTTTTTTAACAATCAAGTCATGCCTTTATTTAACAGCTACATAAAATTAAATTGGAATGGCTAAAAGGCTCAAATGTAATACCCAACATTACTGCAAGAAAACATAAGAGAAAACTCTATGGCATTTTTAGGAGCTGATTTTTAAAAATATGATTACCTCCCACAAAAGCACAGACAGTGAAAACAAAATAGACTAATGGGAGTACATCAAACTGAATAGCTTCAGTCCATCAACTGGGACAACTAACAATGAAAATCCGATTCAGAGAATAGGACAAATATTTGCATAGAAATTTCACAAAAGAAGACATACAAATGGCCCAACAGAATATGACAAATCCTCACTAAACACTAGGGAAGTGAAAATTAAAATCATAACAAGCTATCTCTTCACTCCAGTTATAACTGCAGTTACCAAGAAGACTCAAGATTTTAGATGTGGAGAAATGTACACTAATGCACATTGCTCATAAAAGTGAAAGTCAATACAGCGATTGTGCAAACAGCACGGATTCTCTCCAAAATAAAATAGAATTGCCATATAATCACGCAATCCTACTACTAAGCACATTTGCAAAATATATAAAATCCTCAGATTGAAGAGATATCTGCATTCTCATGTACATTGCAATATTGCAGTATCATTCATTATTGCTGGGATGAAATCAGTCTAGATGCCTACTACTGTTAACTCAGTATACATCCTTAAAAAGAATGATTACCTATCATTTGGGACAATAAAGATGAATGTAAAAGATGTTACACTGTTTGAAATATGCCAGAAATAGAAAGGCGAATCTTGTAGGTGATATCATTTATGTCTACAATCTTTTTTTTTTTAATTGTGAACTAAAGTCAGAAAAGGACTTTATTTTTTTTTTTATTTTTTTTTCAAAGGCAGTCAAGTAGGCCTTAGAACCAAAGCCCTTGATTTATTGTTTTTTTTTATGCATATAGAGTATTTTTTATTTAATTTTATATAACAAAGTCCAATTAAATGAAAACAAACATTTATACACAATATTTGGGAATTTGGGCGTCGTTCTTTCCAAACTACTTCCTGCTGGTAAGGGGCGCTGTCTTGGGGGATTCGAAGAAGATTCAGATATCCTAGCTGTAGTCTGTAGGCTGTTTTGTCCAGCTGTTTGGAATGTAGGATCAGCTTGTACTCTGTTTCAGGCGGTCTGGTGTGATCAAACCACATTAGTCTGGAAGGAATCCACATCTTTTCATTTTCTGTGGAAACAAAAATAGAAATACTTTTCCCCAGTAACTTGTTCTTCAACTTAAATTTTGGAGTCAAAGCGTTTTTTTTTTTTTTTTTTTTTTTTTTTTATTTTACATGTCGATCCCAGTTCCCTCTCCCTCCCTCCCTCCCCCCAAGCCCTCCCTCCCTCCTTCCCTCCCTTTTGCCCTCTCTATCCTCTCCCATGCACTCTAAACACCCTCCCCTCCCAACCCCCCACCACAATACAATATGTAGGGGAATGCCATCCAGTTGGGGTCATGTAGATCTGACAGGTCCTGTGAAGTAGGGACTAGGGCTTCTCTCCTATCTCTAGAATAAGGCAGTTATCCCTCCATGGGGCATATGTTTGCAAAGTCCTTTTGTGCACCAGGGATACATCCCGGCTCCACTGTCTGAGGTCTCCTAGGCTGCTCAGAACTTCTGGCTGAGACCCATATTCAGGGGGGTCCGAGTCAGACCCCTGTTGGCTTCCCAGCTATCAGTCTAGTGGCCCTTAGCTCCTCCTTGTTCAGGTAAGCTGTCTCTATGTACTTCTACCGCATGGTCTTGTCCTCTCCATCTGCTTCTGGGTTCTAGTTTGACTCAGTGTTTATGTATGGGTGTTTGCTCCTGTTTTCAACAGGCATTAGTTGAGGACTCCATGGAGAAGTTAGTTGTTGATCTCACTCTCCGGGAAGGGCATTTATGATAGCCTTTCCACGGAAGCTGAGATTGTTAGTTGGGAGCAGTCTTGTAGTTCCCTCGACCTTTCTTTGTGTTCAACTTTATCTTCAAACCAGTATTGGCTCCCTCTTTTATGTTCTCTCTCTCTGTCTCTGTCTCTCTCTCTCTTTCCTATTTTCCATTCCTAACCAGGCTCAATCCTCCTGGTCGCACATGCCTTCCTCTCCTCCCTCTCATTTTCTCCTACTTCTCTCTCCATTAGATGTCCTCCCCCCACTATACCTGAGGTCTGGGGGACTTGTCCCTTCCCAATTCTGTGAGGGACTTTATATGAATCTCTTAGAATACAACTTGTATCCTAGTTCCTCTGGTGATGTGAATTATATGCTGGTGATCATTTGATCTAGGTCTAAAATCCATATATGAGTGAGTACATACTGTGTTCCTCTTTTTGTGACTGGGTTACCTCATTCAGGATGGTTTCTTCAAGTGCCATCCACTTGCCTGCGAATTTCAAGATACCATTATTTTTTTCTGCAGAGTAGTATTCCATTGTGTAGATGTGCCACATCTTCATTAACCATTCTTCAATTGAAGGGCATCTAGGTTGCTTCCAGGTTCTTGCTATTACAAATAGTGCTGCTATGAACATAGTTGAACAGATGTCTTTGTTGCATTGATGTGAATCCTTTGGGTATATGCCTAAGAGGGGGATTGCCGGGTCCTGTGGTAAACTAATTCCCATTTTCCTGAGGAACCGCCATACTGATCTCCAAAGTGGCTGTATGAGTTTGCACTCCCACCAGCAGTGGAGGAGTGTTCCACTTTCTCCACATCCTCTCCAACATAAGTCATCACTGGTGTTTCCAATTTTAGCCATTCTGGCAGGGGTAAGATGGTATCTCAAAGTTGTTTTGATTTGCATTTCCCTGATAGCTAAGGATGTGGAGCATTTTCTTAAGTGTCTTTCAGCCTTTTTGATTTCCTCCATTGAGAATTCTTTCTTCAGTTCTGTACCCCATTTTTTAATAGGGTTATTTGGTGTTTTGTTGACTAGTTTCTTGAGTTCTTTGTATATTTTGGAGATCAGCCCTTTGTCGGATATAGGATTAGTGAAAATCTTTTCCCAGTCAGTGGGCTGCCGTTTGGTCTTGTCAACTGTGTCCTTTGCCTTACAGAAGCTTCTAAGTTTGAAGAGGTCCCATTTATTAATTGTTTCTTTCAGTGTCTGTGCCCCTGGAGTTATGTTCAAGAAGCGGTCTCCTATACCAATTTGTTCAAGGGTACCTCCTACTTTCTCTTCTAAGAGGTTCAATGTGGCTGGATTGATGTTGAGGTCTTTGATCCATTTGGACTTGAGTTTTGTGCATGGCGACAGACATGGGTCTATCTGCAGTCTTCTACACACCCTCATCCAATTGTGCCAGCACCATTTGTTGAAGATGCTGTCTTTGCCCCATTGTATAATTTTAGCTGTTTTGTCGAAAATCAGGTGTTCATAGGTGCGTGGATTAATATCAGGATTTTCAATTCGATTCCATTGGTCTACCTGTCTATTTTTATGCCAATATCAGGCTGTTTTCAGAACTATAGCTCTGTAGTAGAGCTTAAAGTCAGGAATGGTGATGCCTCCTGATGTTCTTTTATTGTATAGGGTTGTTTTGGCTATCCTGGGTCTTTTGTTTTTCCATATAAAGTTGATTATTATCCTTTCAAGGTCGGTGAAGAATTGTGGTGGGATTTTAATGGGGATTGCATTGAATCTGTAGATTGCTTTTGGTAAGATTGCCATTTTTACTATGTTTATCCTACCTATCCAAGAGCATGGGAGGTCTTTCCATTTTCTGGTATCTTCTTTAATTTCTTTCTTTAGAGTCACAAAGTTCTTATTATATAGATCTTTTACTTGTTTGGTAAGCGTTACACCAAGATACTTTATGTTGCTTGTGGCTATTGTAAAGGGTGATGTTTCTCTGATTTCTTTCTCTGCCTCTTTGTCGTCTGAAAAAAATA